GGGTGGGCATCGGATGTCCGAAGCCTCGACTTTCGCGTCGGAGCCCGCCCTGTCTGGGTGCAGTTCCCGCGCTGCTCCTGGCTCGCCGGCGAGGGCTCGGACGAACCGTGCACGGCATCCCTGGGGCATCTCCTCCCGTGCCCTTCTTGGCGTTCGCCCGCCGCGCGGCGTGCGCGGCCGCGTCCGGCTCTCCTGCGTGCGGGGCAGGGCCGCAGGGCGTCGCATAGGCTGGTTTTCTTCCCGAACATTGGGTGGGCGGCGGGGTAACCATACACGTCAAGCAGGGGCGAGGCGACCTGGCTTGCCCATAGGCCCACCAAATACTGTTCTAAGAATCTTGTGTGGTTTGCACGAAATGTTCTTAGAACCTCTCTGGCTGGGGCTGCCTTGTTTTAGCGCATACGCCTTGTGTTCTAGGAACGCTGCATTTGTTCTTAGAACATGTTTGGGTTCTATGAACGTTGCGTGGTAGGCCTCTAGGAATGCCAGGCCGGTCGGTCCCGACTCAAACACGGGTAGGGTCGTGCCGCGCCGGCGTGGCGGCGGCCCCGCCGATTTCGTGCCGATGCAGCTCGATTCGACGCACGTGCCGACCCTACAGTCAACCCGCGGAGTAAGGATGAACAACTTGTCCTAGGTTACCCTTGCATCCTTGCCCCTTCGGCCCATCCCTGGCAACTCATCCTTACCGTGTATCCTTACTCCGCGGGTTGACCGTATCCGATTTCCTGATTCGACGCTGGCTGATCCCGCCCACTCTCTCCGACACACTTTGGCCTCCCCGCCTCTTCGGCCGAGGACGGCTCCGCGAGGCCTGCTCGGGACGTCCCACAAAGCTCCAGCGTGCCCCCCCCCCCTCGGGGGAGCCCGCGAGAGCCCCGAGGCGGGCCAGGACGGCTCCAATAGAGCCTCAAACTCGACCGCGGGGCCCCCGGCAGGGTCCAAGACGGCCCAAGTCGGAGGCGTCGGAGCGGGGTTGTGAGGACCATGCCTGCTTTGTGTCCCTGGCCTTCCTGTTGGTCCGGGTCCCCGCTGGGCGCTAGTGCACCCTCTCCGGCCCTTCAAGCACCTAGCTACGTATGCCTAGCCCTTTCCCCTGTCCTCTTCTCTCTCTCTCTCTCCGCCTGGTGCCGCGTGTGCCCGTCTGCCGCCATACTGGATCAGGCCTCGAGGCGCGTCGGCTTGGAAGGGGTACCCCGCCGCGCGGGCGACCCCCGGCGGCCGCGCCCCCCCCCCCCCCAGACAGATCGGTCCCTGCGGGACCCAGCCTACTGGAGGCCCACATCAAGCAGAAGGGCTCCCAGGAGCCCAAGGCCTCCCAGAGTTCTCGGTGCTCTCTCACTCTTTCAATGTGTCTTCTGCCCCCCCCTTCACAGTGCCCACGCATGCCTCGGACCATGATGCGCTGACCCCCCCTATCTGGTTCCCTTCTTGAGCGCGCCCGGCCGATAGGAGGGAAACAGGGCGAACCGGGACATCCCGCCCGATGCGTGATTCGTCTTTTGCATGGCAGTATTTGTTTGGCGCTCAACAGAAGGTTTCTGGCGTCGACGAAACATTATTCCTCACCCTCCCAAAACATTTCCTGCCAATGCATGCCCTGGGTTTCTGGTTCGGGAACGGGCGTGGACGAGGGACGGGATGAGGAAAAGAAGGAGAAGCATGAGGAAGAGGAGAATGATGATGATGATGATGATGATGATGATGATGATGATGATGATGATGATGATGATGATGATGATGATGATGATGATGATGATGATGATGCTGATGCTGATGCTGATGCTGATGCTGATGATGATGATGATGATGATGATGATGATGATGATGATGATGATGATGGTGATGGTGATGGTGATGGTGATGGTGATGGTGATGATGAGGATGAGGATGAGGATGAGGATGAGGAGGATGAAGAGGAGAAGGAAGAGGTGGGGGAGGTGCGCGTGTCAGCATGGGGGCTTGAAGAGGCCCCGTTGGAACCTGACAGAGACAAAGGGCCCACCCTTCAGGTTCTGTGAAACCACACATCTTTGAGCGGTGCTGCAGCCTCCCCTGAGCATAGGCTCCCCCCAGAGCGCCAGGTGGACAAATCGGGTTTGCACCCTCGTGTCTTGCTGGACTCTAGGCTGGTTTCGGCACCCTCTTCCCCAACCTCGTCAGGGCCACTGACAAGGGAAAGGGCGGTGGTGGCCGGCTTCGGTGGAGCATCAGCCAGTCAAGCCTGGTAGAGGAGGAGACGAGGAGGGAGGCGGGCCTTCAGGAGGGGCGGGACGAGGATGGACAGGACCGATTGGTGACGAGTAGAGCACAATAGCAGTTCTTCTGCTGCTCGGAGCTGACATTTGAGGCGTGGAAGAGAGCAGTGTTGGACTGTGCCGTATGACGAGGATTGCATTTGCCTACTCTGCAACGCAACCAGCAGACCTCTAAAGGCTCTTATGATCCCCAATACTCAGGAGGGGAGAAACACACACACAGACACAATGAATCGTCGATTCCCGAGGAAGCCTGGGAAAATGTGGGAAGTGGGGGGGGGGACGACGAAAACCCAGAACATATGGGAAGATATGGGGAATCCTGTTGTTTGTGTGTACTTATTTGTGTGGCCCAGGTCCCCTTCAAAGGATCCCCGGTACGGCATCCCTGGAAGGCTCCGTGCGCGACGCTCGGGATCTGCGCCACCGGCGTGCCCGGTGCGCCACGGCGTGCCGGGTGCGTCGCTGGCCCCAGGTGGCCCACGGGCCCATCGGGGGCGGAAAAGAGGGGGGTGATGACTAGGGGGGGGTGGATATCATGGTGGGGGCCACGATATTTCCCCAGATCTCATGGCGCCTCTTCTTATTCCATTACGTCCCTGGCCCCCCCGTTGGGCCGCGCACATGCCGCCGGTCATGATTTGCACCCCCCCGCTTGGACACCCCCCTCTTAGCCGCTCCCGAGCCCAGGCTGGCCAGCCGCACCTGTTCGGATGCAACTCCTGGGAGGTGCAATTCTGGTTCTGCCCTGGTCCGAAATCCCGCTCAATCCCGCTTCATCCCGCTTCATCCCGCTCCAATCCCGCTTAATCCGGCTGAATCCGAGGCCCACTCCGGCGTAGCAGCCCCCCAATGGGGCTGAATTCTTTTTAGTCTTTCCGACGAAAGACTCCCAGTAGTTGCCTCCTAACACCTGGTGCGCCAGATGTGCTACGAGCGGCCAGAATGCCACATGCTCCAGCCGAGCCAGGTGCGCCATGTACGCGACGCGAGCAAAGTGTTCAGGTGCGCTTGTCCACGTGGCAGCATGTACGGGGCAAGATGCCAATGCCAGCAGCAGCCCCTGTCACATGCTAACGCAGATTGGCGGCGGGGTAGCCATCATGGTGGGGCGCACGCACCCGCAATCAGTTCGCACTTGCTTTTGATGCGGGTAGTGTGCGAGCGCACAGCGGACAAACATTGCTCTCACCCCGCCATCCTTGCCACAAGCCATGCAAAGTGATCGAGGGGTGCCCTCTCATGATTCAGATTTCGCCGCCAGCGGGTGCCCTCATTGCCCCTGGTCGGCGGCTGGTCCAGTGGGGGAGCTGCTGCTCTTTTGTCGTCGTTTGTTGTTCGTTGCCCTTGCGCTTGTTTAAATCTACCGTTTTCGACCAGCCCCCGAAGGGGAGAAGAGGAAAGAGGGCTACAGTCGGGGCCCTGAAGAAGGACGCCTTTTCATTGGGGAGGGTCTCCGTGTTCCTTGAGTGTTTCGCAGCTTGCCTTGGATTATCCTTAGGTTTTCGATGCGAAATCGAAGTTCAACTTATGGAGAATAGGGGCCTCGTTCCTTATTTAGGGTTCCTTAGGTCAACGCCTCGACTGCAGAAGAGGAGTCGATCCAAACCGCAGGCACCCAGAGGGCTGGCGGGCTGCGGTGCGGGCCCCTCCTGCTCCGTCGGGCGACCGGGCTCCCGCGCGCTCCCCGGAGCTGCGCGGCAGGGCCTGCGAGTGACTCTCGGGGGCCCCCCCAAAAACGGGGCGGTGACCGCGCCGTGCGGTGAGTCGGTGGGGATTCGGCGGCACCGCACGGGTTTTCGGGGTTGGACAGACCTACCCTGTTACGTCGATTAAGGAGCTGGCCGTTTTCGGTTCGCGAGAGGGCGTCGCGGCCGTCATTTTTGCGGGTCCAGGTCCGTCGATTTCGGTCCCAGGCCCTTTTCACTAAGGGGAGGTCTACTGAAGGGAGGTTTGTCCACCGCCGAGTTTTGGGACTCGAGTTGATCTTCGAGGACGTCTCGGGCGACGGGGGCCCCCGGGGTCCCAAGACCGTGCGGTGACGGACCGTGCGGTGAGGTCTTGGGGGATTCCGAGGTCACCGCGCGGTCTGTCACCGCACCGTTTCGGGGCTCCAAAGAGTGCGCAGCGCGCGCGCGCTGCCTCGTGCTTCCATGCGTAGGCGAAGCCTCGCAGCGGCAGTACCAGTGCTTGTGGATCGGGTTGCCCTGGCCAGGTTCGGCCGAGCGGGTTTGCCGGGTTGGCCGGAGGGTTGGCCGGAGGGCTGGCCGGGGCTGGATGGAGGGCTGGCCAGGGTGCAAGTCTTCGAGGGGTGGCCCTTTCCGTGCCAGATGGTATGGCTCTTGTGACAGCCGCAGCTGGCCCGTTTCCGCGGCCTTTGTAGCTCGAGGGGTCACGCAGTTCAGACTCAAGCCTCACGCTCCCCAGAGCCATCCGCTCCTCGCCGATGGGGGATTTGGAAAGGGCAGCAGCTGTAGCGTTCGAGAGCGCGAAGAAGCCTAAGTGGTGCATCCCATTAACGTGTGTATTCCTGCCTGCCTTCATAACGGCTGTTTGGGCACTGGCCTCGATACACAACTTGAGTCCTCAAGAGCAGTTGCTTGTGATGGACCCGAACGGTTATTGGATTCAGAATGGGCCCTGGAGTGGTTGCGTCATCACACACCGCAAGAAGGTTGTCCGCCCAGGAACACTGCTGGAACCTAAGCAATACGCTGTGGTGAAGAACATCCGGACGGGCAGATCTCACAACGTTGTTGGCCCCCAGTTCTTGTTTCTCGGACCTTACGACATATTGGTCGATGTGAAGAACACGTTCGTCCTGCTCAAAGGACAGTACGTCCGCCTGGCAGACCAGGCAGGTGGGGCGCAGCGAGTCTTGGTGGGCCCGCAAGCCGTGGTTCCCGAACCCACCGAGATCGCTTCTGAGGGGGTGCAGCTGGCACACTATCTGGATGCAGAAACTGCCCTTCTCGTTCGAGATAAGCAGACTGGAGTGCAGAAGCTTGTGGCCAAGGTCGGGATGTACACCCCGACTGTCGACGAGGAGGTCATTGAGGAACGGCATCTCCTCCACGTCCTGTCATATGAGGCTTTGATTACTCGGGATGCGAGCGGGCAGCTTACTCTTCACAGTGGAGCGGACGGCGATGGCACAGGCTCCGCTTTCTTCCTGCCGCCGTACCACGAGGTTGTTGAGATGCATTGGTCGAACTTCTCGAAGCCTCCAGATCAGCAGACCATGAGCAAAGTTCCTGTGACGAGGGTCGACATGCGTTCCAGGAGGATGCGTTTTGCATACGAGGTGCGCACGAGTGACAGCGTGAAGCTCGTGCTTGAAGGCACTATTTTCTGGCAGATCAAGAATCTGTCCATGACCATCGCTGCCACTGCCGACCCTGAAGGTGATGTATGGCACCACGCTCGGAGCTCTCTCATCCAGGCTGCCAGCAAGGTCACTCTACAAACATTCATGTCAGGCGTCAACGGCACGGTTGTGGAGTCGTTCGGCACGCAAGCGGCGGACAGCTTCTACTCGGAGCGTGGGGTCGAGCTGCAGAGCATGGAGGTGACGAAGTTCGATTGTGCGGACCCAGAGATAGCCGTGATCTTGCAGGCGATTATCCAGGAGTCTACGAACAAAATCAACAAGTTGACGGTGCAGGCGAGCGAGAACGAGGTAGCCGCCGCAGCGCTGGCTGCAGAGATCCAGCTCGCAAAGCAGAAGACCGAGCTCATTGAGACAGAGGCGGAGAACCTTCGGATTCAATCAATGAAGCAGGGAGAGGCCGAGGGCTTGCAGCTAGCGGGCGACGCCAACGCCTTCATTGCGGGTCTCGACCAGACCATCCCCGATGTGAGCACCCGTGTCGACTTGTACACCCTCCGGCACCAGTTGCGCAGCAGGAACACGGATACACACAATCTTGCGTCGGGGACCGCACACCTTTTTGTCGCACCCGATGATTTGAGCCTCAAGCTGAACGTCGGCTCTGGCCTGGCGGGGGAGGGGTCGGCAGAGTTGTGAGCGCTGCCAGAAGTGATCGTCGCGTTTGCCGTTGACGAGGACAGCCGCGAGCTTTGCTTTTGAAAGCCAGCGCCTCGGCAGCATAGATGCAAGCAGCTACGCAGCACTGAGGTGAAAGGGCCAATCAAGCTAAGGCATGTTGGCTGGTCGCCTTGCTAACCGACGCATGAGGTCTACGTAGGAGCTAAACGTGCTAAGTCATGTTGGCCATCTGCTTTGTCTCTTCACGCTGGTCTTGTACAGTTTTTCCTCATCAAGCGTTTAACTGATTATACGTGGCGTGAACAAAATGCACAGTTGACCAGCTGCGGAATGCCTTTCTGACCCCCCTGTGGGGCATTCACGCAACGCTGAACGCGCCTACTTGAGCGGGAGAGCCATCGCAACCGTAGCTCCATTAATTTCTAAACACGCTTTGGTGTGTGAGCTCCCATATCAGGGTGTCATGCCGTTCAATGCGTACGTGTATCGAAGAATCCGACGGCGAATCACCGCCGCCCCCTGCCTTCGAACGCTCCAATATGGTCAAACGTTTGGGGAAAGTTTGGCCACACTATTGGACCATGCGTTCACCCAGCCGTTGTGGAAACCCTTCGAGAATCAGGAGGACCAGGATGATGATGATGAGGAGGAGAAGGAGGATGAGGAGCGGGAGGAAGAGAGGAGGGGGGTGATGAGGAGGAGGCGTAGTGGAAGGGGGAGGGCGAGGGCGAAAAGGATAATGGCGTTGATGCGGCGGAGGAGGACGACGATGACGAAACGCTCGACGACGATGCCGAAGGCGCAGGCGGATCAGGATGTGGGGATAGTGATGGACCATGGCTATACATTTGCTTCGGCGACTGAAGCCGCATCTCACGGCGGAGGCACAGCTTCTGGCGCAGCTAATAACATGCGGTTTTAGGTTTCGGTGGTCGAGGGCAGGGCCTAACCTATGACGAAAGCAATCGCCAGCCGTGTAAAGCTTTGCCGGTCGAGGGTGTATCTTGTGGCGCAGCCAGCAGCAGACCGTGTTGATATTTCGGTGGCCGGGGGCGCAACCTGTATGCGTATGGTGAACACAACCTCGGGCTCAACCAATAGCAGGGCGTTCGAAGTTTAGGGCATCGATGGTGCAACCTATTCCACTAACCAGTCCACAGCGCAGCCTCCCACGGGGCAGCTTATGGCGTGATTGATGGTGCAAACCACGGTGAGACCTTTGGCGCAAGCTATGGCGCATGCTCTGGTGCAACCGCTGGTGCGACCCCCAGCGCAACTTTTGACGCAACTTCTGTGCAGCACACGGCGCAATTCTGGCGCAACCTTTGGCGTCGCCTCTGGCGCAACCCCTAGCGCAACCTCTGGCGCATTCTGCTGCGCAACCCGTGGCGCTAGGTGCGGACGGAATTCAAAGTAGTTTGCCCTCACAGCTTCTCGGGGCCATGTCAGATCTTAGTTTGCCGTTTGGGCTGCGGGGTGAAGTGGCCGACACGGGGAGCTGTCTTGCGTTCTCCCGAGACCCTGCGTTTTGAAGGCTTGTTCATGGGCCCCTCGGGAGTCTTGTGGGGGGCTTCGCGGAAGCATCTTGGGGGGCGCTTTGGCAATTTTTCAGAGCCCGACAACTGTCCCTGGACGTCGAAAGTGCAGGAAAACCGCCGCAAGACGCTGGAGATCTTGGTGCCCTCCCTTACCATCACCGTCCTAGCCGCACACCCATGGCCTTGGCCTCGCGGTCAGGACTCCTCAGCCGCGACACCACGAATGCAGGACGGTCTTGCGCGGTTGCCCCGCTCGCAACGTATCCATGGGGTCGCGCCTCGGCATTTGGAAGACTGCGAGGGCAGGGAATATGGGCATCTTCCTACTGTAGGCTCGCATTGTGTCGCCTGGCGGCGACCCCGCCGCCGGCGTTTAACGTTGAACGCCGCCGGCGACCAATGATCGGTTGATGTTGAAAGATCTGAAGCTTGGGACACGGCCGATCGTTCAAGGCTGCGCGATCCCCGCGGGTCGGCACGACACCCGCCTGCCGCAGCTGCTGCTCCCTCCCGAGTGGCCGTGCCGCTGTCTCCCCGCAGGGCCCGGCGGTGCGGGGCACGCTTCGAAGCCCCGCCCCCCGCCGCCGCCGTGGGAGTCCCAGAAGATGGCCAGGAGCCGCCCCGCCCCGTGCGCGGCCGCTTCGCGGCGCTCGGGAGAGGCTCCTTCGGGAGGTGGGCAGTCGAAGGAGAGAGGGCGTGCAGCGGAACCACATGCCAAGAAACACCCTGCCTGCCTCCAGGGTGCCCTAGGTTGCTTGGGTTTTGAAGCTTTTGCTATGGAGAGCGTGACGTTCCCACACCAAAAATCAATGGACGTCCTGGGGTCTCTGGTTGGGTTTTTAGTGGAAGGTTTCGTGTAGTCGAGCTCCTACTGATAATCATCAGCATCATCATCATCAGCAGCATCATCATCATTCGCATCAGCGTCAGCATCAGCATCATCATCAGCATCATCAGCGTCATCGTCATCATCATCAGCATCATCATCATCGTAATCGTCGTCATCATTATCATCATCACCATCATCATCATCACCATCATCATCATCATCATCATCATCATCATCATCATCATCATCATGATCATCATCATCATCATCATCATCATCATCATCATCATCATCATCATCATCACCGTCAGCATCAGCATCGTCATCCTCCTCATCATCATCATCATGATCATGATCATGATTCTGATCATCATCATCATCATCATCATCATCATCATCATCATCATCATCATCATCATCATCACCGTCAGCATCATCATCATCATCATCATCATCATCATCATCATCATCATCATCAGGATCATCATGATCATGATCATCATCAGCATCGTCATCACTCGTTTCGGCACACGTCTCACACGTTTCGTGGCCCCACGGGGAGCTCCACCGAAGGCCCCAGTGGCAGGGTTTGCATGCGGTTCCCCGCACATTTCGGCACACCCCTCATACGTTTCGTGGCCCCATAGGGAGCTCCACCGAAGGCCCCAGTGGCATGACTCGCATGCGGTTCCCCGCTCATTGCGGCACACTTCTTAAACGTTTCGTGGCTCCATAGGGAGCTCCACCGAAGGCCCCAGTGGCAGGCTTCGCATGCAGTTCCCCGCCCATGTCGGCACACGTCTCACACGTTTCGTGGCCTCATAGGGAGCTCCACCGCAAGCCCCAGTGGCAGGGTTCGCATGCGGTTCCCCGCCCATTTCGGCACACCCCTCACACGTTTCGTGGCCCCATGGGGAGCTCCACCGAAGGCTCTAGTGGCAGAGGCTGCATGCGGTTCCCCGGCCATTTCGGCACACCCCTCATACGTTTCGTGGCCCCATAGGGAGCGCCACCGAAGGCCCCAGTGGCATGGCTCGCATGCGGTTCCCCGCTCATTTCGGCACACTTCTCACACGTTTCGTGGCCTTCTATAGGGAGCTCCACCGCAGGCCCCAGTGGCAGGGTTCGCATGCGGTTCCCCGCCCATTTCGGCACACCCCTCACACGTTTCGTGGCCCCAGGGGGAGCTCCACCGAACGCCCTAGTGGCAGGCTTCGCATGCGGTTCCCCGCCCATTTCGGCACACCCCTCATACGTTTCGTGGCCCCCCCCCCCATAGGGAGCTCCACCGAAGGCCCCAGTGACAGGGCTCGCATGCGGTTCCCCGCCCAGTTCGGCACACCCCTCACACGCTTCGTGACCCCATAAGGAGGCCTGTCGAACCATGGACCTAGAATGCGGTATCCATAACTGCTTATGGTTGGGTCCTTCGTCAGGCTAATGTTGTGATATTGGCATTCGTTGATGCATCGAAGTTGAGAGACATTCGAGGGTACCTCGAAAACGACATAGTTATTTACTTCTCTCAGTCCGTCCTCCCTCACCTCATTCCCACCTCCCTCACCTCGCTCTCACCTCGCTCACCCCGTTCACGCCTCCCTCGCCTCATCCTGGAGCTGACGAACCCAGCCTCGCCTCCCTCGCCTCATTCCCATCGCATTCGCATTGAGGCGACGAGGTCTGTCAGATACCACTGCCCAGGAAGGATTCCTTGTGGGACCGCCGCCCGGGACAGATTTGTACGCCGCCCGCGGAAGCCCCCCGCCTCGTCGCCACGGCCGGGTGGTTTGCCGAGGCCCCGCCTGCGGCCCCATCCCCTATTCCCGCCGTCGCGGCTGGACCGCCCCCTGCTCCTCCCTGCGCGCGGCCCCCCCCCCGCGCTTCCTCCCTCCTCCTCCTCCTCCTCCTCCTCCTCCTTCTCCTCCTCCTCCTCCTCCTCCTCCTCCTCCTCCTCCTCCTCCTCCTCCTCCTCCTCCTCCTCCTCCTCCTCCTCCTCCTCCTCCTCCTCCTCCTCCCCCTCGAAGTCGGCTGGATCCGCCCCGGACATATCCAGTTGCCTCCGGCAATGCCGCCGCCGTGCCAAGGGCCCGGTGGGTGCGGGGGAAGGGGCACGAGGGCGCCCAGGGAGCCGCGGGAGGCGGGGCGGTGCGCGCGACGAGGCGCGGCCCGTGAGGTGGGGGGCCCTTAAACAAAAATATGATTGCCTGCGAGGGCTCCGAGCAGTCTGTCTCAGAAACCTATGTGGTGCAATCTCTGCGGTGCAGTCTGTGCGGTGCAAGCTATGCGGTGCAATCTACGCGGTGCAGTATATGCGGTGCCATCTATGTGGTGCGATTCACTTTGACTGTCTTGAAGCTGTCCTCTCCAGTGCTCGTGCAAACATCCCACCCTCCCACCCGCAACTTGGTCGTAAGACCTCTTAAGACCATGACGTTAGGTACCAAGTGGCACTTGGCAACGGCACCGACGCCGACGACGACAGCGACCACGACGACGACGAGCCGCCGACACCGACTACGACACCGACGACGTCTCCAACGACTTCGACGACGACGACAACGACGACGACGACGCCGACGACGACGCCGACGACGACGACGACGATGACGCCGACAACGACGACGACGCCGACGACGACGACGCCGACGACGACGACGACGACGACGAAGACGACGACGACGCCGCCAACGCAGACGACGACGACGAGGGAGGAGGGAGGACGACGACGGCGACAACGACGACAACGACGAGGGAGGAGGGAGGACGGCGACGACGCGAACGACGGAGAAGGAGGGCGGACGGCGACGCCGACAACGACAACGACGAGGGAGGAGGGAAGACGACGACGACGGCGACGAAATAGGAGGGACGCCGACGAGACGCCGACGACGGACGACGATGTCGAGAGAGGAGGAAGGATGACCACGGCGACAACGACGACGGAAACGACGACGACGCCAAAGAGGGCGACGACGACGAGGAAACAGAGGACGACGACGACGACGACAACGACGAGGGAGGAGGGAGGACGACGACGACGACGCAAGAGCGCGCGCACGCTTTTGTCGAAAATCCGTGTTGCAAAACCGGGTGTTTTTGTATTTTCTTTGGACACTCGATTTTGAGAACCTTCCGAAATGCGCGCGCGACGACGCGCGCGCGTGCACTTCGTTTTTTGTTTTGCAGAGGATTTTCGCGACGGCACGCGCGCAAGGGCGTTCGAAACATTTGGACATGCGCACGCGCAAAGTCCGTTTGGTAGTATTTTGTTTTGAAATCTTGAATAACCGATGGTTTTCTTAAGATTTCGCAAGAGCGCGCGCGCAATTTTGTTAGACAATCAGTGTTGTTTGTTTTTTTTCCCAACCATCCTGTGGTGTTGGGTCCTCGTTTTGAAGAGACAGCGCCCCGCGTCCCACCTCCTCTCCTCCTCCTCCCCCTCCTCGCCCTCCTCCCTCCTCCCCCTCCTTGCCTCTGCTCTCGGCACACCCCGCCTCCAGGGCAGCGTTTCGTAGCCCCATAGGGAGCTCCACCGAAGGTCCCAGTGGCACAGCCCGCATGCGGTTCCCCCCCCAGGGCAGCGTGGTCAGTCGTGGCCCGTTCCCCCTCCCAGGGCTGCGTTTCGTGGCCCCATAAGGAGCTCCACCGAAGGGGTCAATGGCACAGCCCGCATGCGGTTCCCCCACCCAGGGCCCCAGTGGCGCAGTTCGCATGCGTCCCCCCCCACCCAGGGCAGCGTTTCGTGGCCCCATAGGTAGCTCCCCCGAAGGTCCCACTGGCGCAGTTCGCATGCGTCCCCCCCACCCAGTACATGGTTTCGTGGCGGAGCTCCACCGAAGGTCCCAGTGGCGCAGTTCGCGTGCGTCCCCTCCACCCAGTACAGCGCCTCGTGGCCCCATTGGGAACTCCACCGCATGTCCCAGCGGCGCAGTTCGCGTGCGTCCCCCCCGCCCAGTACAGCGGTTCGTGGTCCCATACGGGGCTCCCCCGAATGCGATACCCACAGCTGCATATGGTTGGGTTCCTTCGCCAGGCTAATTGGAAACTCGATTGTGACATCCTTCCGGAACCGAAGGTTTTTGCAGAGGATGCGGGGGGGAGTGATAACGGCCTGGCTGGGATAGTATGAATGCATGTTTAGGATCGACGAGTGTACAGTATATATATATATATATATATATATATATATATATGAAATCGCATTACCCCAAAGGGGACCGTTAACTCCGGGGGGGGGTAGAGTCTATCATATTTTTAGACAGGAGAATTCATATCCGTAAGGGCTTCGCCCCCTGCCGCTGGCCCCCTCTCTCGGATACTGGGCAATGCAAGAGCGAAATCATGAGGCCTTGGCGCCGCCGTGAAGCAGCGTCGGGACTTCACGCGAAGACGATGAGTAATCGGCAAGACAAATTGAGATTCGGATGATATTGTTGAATTCGGTGTTGTATTTCGAGCTTGCTCGCGTATGCTGTGCACAAATCTTTTCTACGAAGTTTTGAGCTGCTGCAAATCCCATGTTTTTTTTTTTACCCTGATCCCACCGATCTGCGTGAGGGGTGCCACCGAATTTCAAGACATGTGGCTAATGCCATGTGTTTTTCGACCCTGACCCCGCCGATCTGGATGAGGAGTGCCACCAATTTTCAGAAATGTGGCAAATCCCTTGTGTTTTGGGACCGTGACCCCGCCGATCTGCGTGAGGGGGGCCACCGAATTTCAAGACATTACTTTACGAGGGGTTATGGCTTCGGGGTCGCAGATATTGCATCATTTACGTTGGTTTATGGCTTCGGAGACGCGAGCATTGCGCAATCTACTAAGATTTATGGTTTCGGATGCGCGAATACAGCGTGATTGGCGAGGGCTTATGGCTTTGGGGACGCGACTACGGCGTGATTTGCGAGCGTTTGTGGCTTCGGGGACGCAAGTATTGTATAGTTTACGAAGGTTCATGGATTCCAGGACACGAATATGATGTATAGTTTGCGAGGGTTTATGGTTTCGGGGATGCGAATATCGCGTAATTCGCGAAGATTTATGGCCTCGGCGACGCGACTATAGATTCATTTGCGAGGGCTTATGGCCTGTGGGCGCGAATTTCATGTATCTTTACGTGTCCAGCGCCGCCCCCAGGAATTCAGAGCACGCGATTCGGGCGTGGTAATCCGGACGTTTTTCGGCTCCACCCCCTCGCGCGGTCGACAGCAAGGAACAATAATACAAGAAGAAGCATATCACATTGTAAACTGGAACCTGCAACTGGTGCAGGGAGCAGCAAACCTTTGCCCTACAGCCTTGTGGTCCACAAGGGGGCCGGCGGATTTCAGTTCGCAATGGGTTGTTCACTCCTCTGCTCGCGCAAACATCCCACCCACCCACCCGCAACTTGTTTTGAAAACCTCATGCGGCGGCGATTGCGATGAGTGCTTGGCGCTGGCTGGTGCATCTCTGCGGCCGCGCCAGCCCGCGCATGCGCGCGCGCAGCGGCCAGGTAGTTTGGCGCGACCGACGCGGCCGCGGTGGTGCTGACCGCTCGGCACATCCAGGCGGGCACTTGAGTGCGAGTCGGCGACTTGGGCGGGAGCGGTATCATGGCAACGTCGACAATTGCAGACACGATGGTGATGATGGTGATGATGATGCTGATGATGATGATGATGCTGATGATTGTGATGGTTATGATGATGATAGTAGCGATGTTGGTGACGATGCTGACAGTGACGACGGCACGGCCAGTGATGGCGAAGATGCCGATCACGCCGACGACGATGACGGCGCACTCGCGTCGGTGATGAAGGTTTTGAAAAGAATTTGAAATCCGCGCGCGGCAGGCGCGCGAGAGTGGCTCGCATGGTATTCTTTGGCACGGACTGTGCCACCCCAGCACGCGCGCAAGGGCGTGCGGACGATTTCGACATGCGCGCGCGCAAACCGTTTGGTAGTATGTTATGTAAATGCTTTTGTTGTTGTTGTTGTTGTTGTTGTTGTTGTTGTTGTTGTTGTTGTTGTTGTTGTTGTTGTTGTTGTTGTTGTTGTTTTTTCTCAAGAATTTGAAAAAGCGCGCGCGCTTCTGCATTTATGTTTCGGTCGTCGTTGTTGTTGGCGTTGCCTCCCTGGAATTCCCCTGAACCACTCCCGCCTGAATTTTAATTCCAAGGCGTCACGATCAAGTTTGAACCGGACCATCCAGACCAGCCAAGCCAGATGCAAACAAAAACTGCAGTGCACCAGCACCAGGAATGCATGCAGTTTTTGTTTTGGTGGCCGTCTTGGTTGGTTGTGCCTCCTTTGGTTTCCACTGAACCACCCACCCGAAACCTATGCTCATTAAGGCTTCAGGATTAAATTCAAATCGGAGCAACCAGACCAGCCAGACCATATGCACAACACATTGCAGTGCACATGTAAACTGCAATCCAACAAACAATCGTGTTCTGGTGGTCGTCGTGGTTGGCAATGCCTCCTCAGACCTCCACCAAACCAGTCTCGCCCGAATCCTAAGCTAAGGCTTCAGGACTAAGCTCAAGCTCGAGTTTAAGGCTGAAGCTTCAAGCTCAAGCCTCAGGCTGAAGCTTCAAGCTTGCTCTTTGGAATCTTGGCGTTCCGCAGTGCTCTACAACGGCTAAGAACTTTCTAGTCGAGGGTGATCTGCTAAGTGAGTTGCTCTGTTTTGGTCTGGCTGTGGAAACCTTGAGCCGGCAGCCGTTGTGAGTGCACGGTGGGTGTTGCCGTGCACACTGGCATGTTTTTTTGTTGCAAGTGTTTTTATTCAGCTAGTTTATTTCATGGGTGGTCATCGTGTCCATGAATGTGGTGTAGGGTAATGCGATGGGTGCTCTGTGCAAGTTTGTATAGTACTTAGGCTATCTTTGTGATGGGGTCATCGTGGTGTGCAAATGTTGCCAGAATCTGTGTTGCGCTAACTGGGTCTGTGTGTATCTCTTTGTGCAGGTGAGGAGGCTGCCGTGTGGTGTAGATGACGGACCAGGCTATGGTGCCCAGCCCCTCCACTTCCTGTTTTTCCGCTTCCCGATTCTACACCTTCCTCCTCATCCTCCTCTTCCATTTCATCCTCCCTGCGTTTCCTCCCCCTTCCCTTCAGAAGCTGTCGACCCCGCCGCTCCAGGACCATGCCGCCGAACATGCCCAAGCAGGCGGCAGCCCCGCGATTCTGCTTCTGCAGGATGGGGCGGAGGAGGACGAGGACCAGGAGGTGGAAGGAGGAGGAAGAGGAGGAAGATCAGCTGCGGCAGCTGCCACCCGAAGAGGAGGAGGAGGAGGAGGAGGAGGAGGAGGAGGAGGAGGAGGAGGAGGAGGAGGAGGAGGAGGAGGAGCAGGAGCAGGAGCAGGAGGAGGATCAGTGGTAACATGAGCAGGAGGCTTATGGCAGGGTCACCATTGCAGGAGAGGCCACCAAGGCGTCCCTGCTGCACGGGAATAGGAGGACACATACACATCATGAGCATACATTTGCGGAGGTCCGAGCCACTTTCTTGTTTGCGGGGGGACCTTCGAACCTGTTTTTTTGGTTTTAGAGGATAAGGAGAAGGAGGAGAAGCACGAGCAGACTGATGGGGATGGTGGAGGCTACCATGACGTTACTATGGTACTGGAGGCACATTTTGAGAACATGCTTGACAGGCCACGCAAGGGTGCAGCCAGATGGCACCGAGACTCCGCTATCCTATAGTATGTATCCTCTTCGGGCCCTCTTGGGCCATCATCGGGACTTCTTGGGCCATCTTGGGGTCCTCCTGAGCCGTCGGGGAGCCCTCTGGGGCCGTCTTGACGCTCTCTTGGGGGTCTCTGGGACGCGTCTTGGGCCGTCTTGGGTTGTCGGAAGCAGTGATAAGGTCTTCTTCAACCTTTCTTGAAGTCAGCAGTTTTTCCCAACCATCCTGTGGTGCTGGGTCCTCGTTTTGAAGAGACAGCGCCCCAGGTTCCTCTCCTCTCCTCTCCTCCCCCTCCTCCCTCCTCCCTCCTCCGAAGCTCGCATGCGTCTCCCCGTCCAAGTGCAGCGTTTCGTGGCCCCAGAGGGGGCTCCAACGACAGTCCCAGTGGCGCAGTCCGCATGCGATTCCTGCGCCCAGTGCGGTGTTTCGCGGCCCCACCCCATAGGGAGCTCCACCGAAGGTCTCAATGGCGCAGTCCGCGTGCGGCTCCTGCGCCCAGTACGGCGTTTCGTGGCCTCATAGGGAGCTCCACCGAAGGTTCAGTGGCGCAGTCCGCGTGCGGTTCCTGCGCCCTGTACAGCGTTTCGTGGCCTCATAGGGAGCTCCACCGAAGGACCCAGTGGCGTAGTTCGCATGCGGTTCCTGCGCCCAGTGCAGCGTTTCGTGTCCCCAGAGGGTCGCCGCCCGACTTCTGGGTGATCAGTCTGCCTATCATGCATACGACCTGCCACGGCCAGGAGAGGCCTTCCTTAATCATGGCGAAGAGGTCGCACATCTCCTGAAGCCCTGCCTGCGGCAGGCGCTCGAAGTTCGTGGGCGAGAGGTGGTCCTCGCCTCAGCCCGCGCGAGCCTTCATGCCCCTCATGGCACTCTGCAATTCGCTCACCGTCAGTGGCTCGAGGCTCTCGACCTCCGCCGGCGACCTGACGAAAGCGAAGGTGCCCATGATGTTCTCGTGCGAAGCTGTACCCCTCCAATCGGACTGCTACTTCTCAACCCTTCATCAACAACATCGACGGGATGGACGAGCGTGACGCGGGGCGCCGTCCCTCCTTCTGGCGCCAGCGCACCTAGCTTGCCCCTGTCCCCTCCCCCCTCCCCTCTGCCCCCCTCCCCCCCCTCCCCTCCCCTCCCTTCCCCCCCCCCTCTCCCCGCCTCCCCCTCCGCTCTGGCACCCCCGCCGCCGCCGCCGCGCAGGGCGGCTGCGGCGCTGCCGCCCAGTTTGGGCGGCCGCAGATGCCGATGCTCGCGCGCCCCGCAGGCGCACGGGCCTGAGCCGCTGCCGCTCGTGTCGCCGCCGCCGCCGTCGCCGTCGTGGTGGTGGTGGCGGTTGTGGTGGTGGTCGTCGTCGTTTTCGTCGTCCGTCCCCTTCTCGTCGTCGTCGTCGTCGCCGTCGCCGTCCCGCTGTGCTCTTCTTTCGTCGTCGTCGTCGTCGTTGTCGTCGTCGTCGTCGTCGTCGTCGTCCTTCTCGTCGTCCTTCTCGTCACCCTTCTCGTCGCCCTTCTCGTCCGTCTCGTCCTTCCCATCTTCCATCCCGCCCCCTTCGGTGTTCTCCCCTCCTCGTCTTGAACTTTGAGCTGCCGCTGCCATGGACGGAGCAACACGCCCACCCCGGCCACACCCCGGCCACACATTTGTTTTTGGGAGCCAGGTTGTTTTGCTCAAGCATGCCTAAGCCACGGACGGCAGAAGTCATGACAATGTGAGAGGGGTTGCCATCCTAGTCGGCATCGGCCTCTCGTTCGTCGCCCCCAGGGGCGAGGGGTGGGTGGAGCGTGCGCACAGAGGTCGACATGAAGGAAACGAGTCCCGAGGGACATGGCCTCGGATTTTTCTTTCGCCGTTTCTTGGCTCTGGGGGCCGTCCCACGGGCCCCTGGACCGTCAAGACACGATGCGGGAGGACGATTCGGCCCTGGGGGAAGCGGCCGGGGTCCAGGGTCCCGTTCCCTCAGGACCCCTTTCCTTCTCTCATGCCGAAGAGGGAGGTACAGTGGGGCCCATGCCAAGAAACACCCTGCTTGCCTCCAGGGTGCCCTGGGTTTCTTGGGTTTCGATGGTCTTGCCGTGGAGAGCGTGACGTTCCCACACCAAAAACCGATGGACGTCCTGGGGTCTCAGGGTTGGGTCTCTTGTGGAAGGTCTCTTGTGGACGGACCTCCCCTGTACGAGGATAAGTGGAGAACCAAACGGGAACACTAGCATGCCCTTTCGAAGCCCCATGCGGAGTTTTTCAGACCGGCGCTCCAGGGGCGGCCAGGGGCGCCAGCCAGGGGTATGGGGAGGGGGGCTCCAGCACCGACCAACCAAATCCGCGCGGGCGTGGGGGAGTTTCTGTGCATGTGGGCGACGAAGAACCTCCTCCTCCTCCTCCTCCTCCTCTTCCTCCTCCTCCTCCTCCTGACTGGGGTCGACTTCGCCGACGCTGGTGCGCAAGCTGACCGCGCAAGGCCGTGATCGAGCGCCCTCGTCTCCGCGCGCTGTGCCGCGCCGCCAGCCTGCACGAGCCACAGCGTAAGGCCGCCGCGCCGTCGCGCGCAAGACTCAGGAGGGCAAAAAGCACACAGACACAATCAATCGTCGATTCCTTAGAAATATGGGAAATTATGGGAAGTGGGGGGAAGACAAAAACCCAGAAAATATAGGAACATAGGGGGGCTCCAGTTATTTGTGTGTATTTATTTGTGTGTCCCAGCGCCCCTTCAAAGACTCCTTTCTGTGTTTTTTTGGGACTTCGGAGGTCTGTTGAGTTTTTTTTGACTCAAGCAGTGGCGAAGCGTCCTGGCTCGCCTAGAGGCCCACCACAGAGTGCTCTTAGAACTTTTTTTTGCGGTCTGCACGACATGTTCTCAGAACATTTCTGGCTGAGACTGTCTTGTTTTAACACTTGGGGTTTATGTTCTAAGAACATTGTTTTTGTTATTGTGAAGGCCTGACGGCCAGTGCCGCCGACCCTGAAAGACATCGACGACGACCAGGAGGGGGAGGAGGAGCAGAAGGAGGAGGAGGAGGAGGAGGAGGAGGAGGAGGAGGAGAGGAGGAGGAGGAGGAGGAGAGGGAGGAGGCGGAATAAGGAGGAGGAGGAGGAGGAGGAGGAGGAGGAGGAGGAGGAGGAGGAGGAAAAGGAGGATGAAAAGGATTCCCCCCTGGGACCCTCCCCCTGTGGAGGAGGACCGGAGGAGGACCGGCGTGGGAGGGGAGGGCCAGGGACGAATGCGTATCTGACTCCACTCCCCCCCCTGGGACTCCTCCCCACCTGGGGAGGAGGACCCGAGGAGGACCGGCGTGCTGGAGAAGGACCAGCGTGGGAGAGATGGACCCCCAGAGGCGATGCGAATCTGACCCTCCCCTTCCCCGGACCCATCCCCCCCGCCGGGGAAGGGAGAAAGGGAAGGGGCTTTTCTTTGATGACGTAATGAGGACGTGGATGGAATTCCTCAAGCTGCGAACCCGCCCCCCGAACGAGGAAGGGTGCTCTCTCTCTCTCTCTCTCTCCCTCCCGACGGGAGAGGAGGATGGGAAGGATGGGGCGAAAGAAGGCCCCCCGTCGACGGGACCAGACAGACACCCCACATACGCCGACAGGGTCGGCGGATTCGAGCATTTTTGGGTTCTAAGACCATTTCGTGGTAGGCCTATAGGAATGCCAGGACGGTCGGTCCCAGCTCAATTGACGCTGCATTTTCGGGGACCTCGCCGGTCCCCCAAATTGGTGTCTTTCCTTGTGCCCGACGCGGGTTCGATGCGGGCTCGACGTGGATTTGGCGTGGATTCGATGCGGATTTGACATGGATTCGACACGAATCCGACGAGTCCGACATGGATTCGACACAGATTCGACGCGGATAGGGCCGCGATGGGACAGACAAGGCCCCCTAGGGATGCAGCATGAGGTTCTGGGAGGTCCCCGCAGGTTTTCAGAGGTCCCCAGAAGAGTGGAGGGCCCACAAAGCCTCAAAGCGGGGTCCAAGGCGTCCAAACGTGATCGATCGTCGATCTTCGAGCCATGAGCCTCGGGCCTGACGACATGGCAGGGCGGAGTTGGGGAAGGGGGAGGGGTGACGACATCTGCTGCGTGCAGCCCGTTTCGGCCCTGCCGCTGGGCGCTCTCGTCGACACCTCAGCGCGACCACCGCCACCGCCGAGCCGAGCACCCCGCAGGACGCGTGGGCAGAGGAGCGCGCAAGTGGCAGCTCCTCGGAAACATGCAATAAGGAGACGGCGGCGCGGCGCGGCGGCCGAGCGGGGCGGCTCCTCCGTGGCGCGTTGGTCGCTCTGCGCGCTCAGCCGCAGGCCGCCCGACACCCTGCACAGGAGGAGGAGGAGGAGGAGGAGGAGGGGGAGGAGGAGGAGGAGGGGGAGGAGGAGGAGGAGGAGGAGGAGGAGGAGGAGGAGGAGGAGGAGGGGGAAGAGGAGGAGGAGGAGGAGGAGGAGGAGGGGGAAGTGCAGGGTGCCCTGCACACCTCTCTCGGGAGGGAAATCGGCACGGGCAGAAATACCCGTCGATTCCCAGGAATGTAAAGCAGAGGCAGCAGGCGCCACAGGCGCGACCGCTTCCACGACCCGCGAAGCAGAGGCCATAGCGCCCGACAGCTGCGTGAGTGGATTCGCTACCCCCCCCCTTTCACTTCCCCTCTTGTTCTCAGGAGGGGAAAAAACACACAGACACAATTAATCGTCGATTCCCAGAAAATATGGGAAAAATATGGGAAGTGGGGGGGAAGACAAAAACCCAGAAAATATTGGAAAATATGAGGACTATTTTTATGTGTGTGTGTGCATTTATTTGTGTGTCCCAGGGCCCCTTCAAGTTCGTCCGCCCCGAACCAAGATATCCTTGGAGGTCGCCAGAGGCCTCTAGAGGTTCCTGGAGCCTTCTGGAGGGTTCACGATGCCCCAAGCAAGTGCGGCCCATCGATGTTAGGCTTTGACAGTCGGAGAAAACTCAAGCATCCAACAGTTATCGATCTTCATCCTGCGACCCAGAGGGAAGGGCGAGGGTACGGAGCGCCACCGCCAGGGGGGCCGCTGGGGAACATCAGCGCCGCCCTGCGAGGCCCAGGCCACGCCCCCAGCGCCACCCTGTGCGAGTGCGGCAGCGGCATGCGTGTCGACGTCAGTGGCGGTGGTGATGACAGTGATGGTATTGATGGCGATGCTGGCGGTGTTGGTGATTTTGATGGTGATGGTGATGGTGAGGATGGTGATGGTGAGGATGGTGATGATGGTGACGATGATGGTGGAGTTGGTGATGACGGTGGAGTTGGTGATGATAGCGATGCTGATTGCGACGGTGTTGGTGATTGTGATGGCCAAAGTGGTGGTGCCGACGACGGTGAAGGATACGATGAGGGTGGCAACGGTGACGACCATGACGATGCTGATGATGTTGTTGATGGCGATGGTGATGCCAGTGACGATAATGGTGATGATGGTCGGATTGTTGTGATGCCAGGTTTCAGTGGTGTTGGCGGTCAGAAGAACAGGGTAAGGATTCTGATGATGATTACGGTGATGATCAGGAGGAGGAGGAGGGGTAAGGCGAAAGAGGAGGAGAGGGGGGAGAGTTTTGGGGAGGATCTGCGGGAGGAGGGGGAGGATCATCATAATGGATGCGTGCATGAAAGGATTGAGGGACACATCGATGTATTGTTGCATGGATGATGGAGGTTGCAAATCAATGAATCTGGAAGATGTTGAAGGGGGCTGAGTGATGTTTCCAGAGGGCTGAGGAGGATCCAGGAACATTGAAGATGAGACAATGATGACAATAATGAGAGAGAGAGAGAGAGAGGAAGATGAAGAGAAAGAAACGCAGTACAACCAGCATCAGTGGCAGCAGACGCAGCAGCATGAGCATGGTGACGAGGAGGAAGATGCGGATGTGGACCACGGGGGCGCGGATGATGGTGATGATGTTGATGCTGATGATGATGCTGTTGATGCTGATGCTGATGTTGATGCTGATGATGATGACGGTGTTGATGTTGGTGCTGATTCTGATGATGAGGATGAGGATGATTCTGATGCTGATAACGATGACGATGACGACGATGATGATGATGATGACGATGATGATGATGATGATGATGATGCTGATGATGATGACGGTGATGATGATGCTGATGACGATGACGATGTCGATAAGGATGATGATGCTGATGATGATCATGATGATGCTGATGATGATTCCGATTCTGATGATGATGCTATTGATGATGACGATGATGACGATGAGATGGTGGTGGTGGCGATGGTGGTGGTAGTGATGATGATCATGACGACGACGCTGATGATGATGATGATGATGATGATGATGATGATGATGAGAATGACGACGACAATGATGCTGACGACGATGATGATGCTGACGATGCTGATGATGGTGATGATGATGTTGATGATGATGATAATAGTGGTGGTGATGAGGATGCTGATGCTGACGACGACGATGATGATGCCTGTGGTGGTTGTGATGATGACGTCGATAATGATGGCGATGATGACGACGGTGACGATGATGATGATGATTATGATGATGATGAGGCAGATTATGATTCTTTGCTGATGATGTTGATGACGGTGATGATGATGGTGATGGCGGTGACGATGCTGATCGACGATGATGGTGGTGGAGGTAACGGCGATAATGCTGACGACGATGATATGGATGATGTTGCTGATGCTGATGATGATTGTGATGACTGTGATGATTGTGATGATGATGCAGGCGATGATAATAACGATGATGATGAAGATGCAGAATATGAAGATGAAGATGATGATGCTGATGATGCTACTGCTGATGATGATGATGCGGCTGTTGATGATGATGATGAGGATGATGATGGTGAGGATGAGGATGATGATGAGGACGATGATGAGGATGATTATCATGCTGACGATGATGATAAGTATTACGATTATTATTGTTATGGTTGTCATTCTTATTGTGATGACGATGCTGATGCTGATGCTGATGCTGATGACGATACTGATGTTGGTGGTGGTGACGATTGATGATGGTGGCGATGGAGGTGATGATGATGATGCTGACGACGACGACGACGACGATGATGAGACTTGTCCTCAGAACGTGCAGGAGATGAATACACAGAGTCCGATACGTTTCGCTCAAGCCTTTTTCGCCTCAGGGAGCACCTGACACGTATGCGCCCTCCCGCTCTGCGGCTGCCATCGTGGACGCTGGTCTGCATCTGGTGTGCTCTGGACGCGTGGCAACCAGGCTTGCTGCGCGCGGGCGGCGGAGGCGGCCCGCCCGACGACTGGGACGGTCGGGCGGCCCTTGCTGCCCAGCGGGCTGCCGAGCGCGGGGCCCAGCTCGCCGCGGCGCGCGCGGCCAACCTCAGCCGGTGCCACGCCGCGCTGGACGAGGTGCAGGTCGTGCTGACCAACGTGTCCGCGGAGCTGGCCGAGCTCCGCACCCTGCAGGCGACGCCGTCCGAGCTGCACGAGGAGCCCGACACGCTCCTGTGGCACGCGCTTGGGGTGGTGCTGACCGCGGCGTTGACGCAGTGTGGCACGTGCCTCGCCGCCTTGCGTCGCCGCGATGGCCCTCCTGCCCGCGAGTCTGAGCCTCTTCCTGAGCGACGGGACCGCCGCCGAGGCGGCGGAGTTCTTCACTGAGCTGGTGCCAGGACGGGTTGTCAGCTTCTACTACGAGGACGACCCGAGCATATGGCACGAGCGGTTGCTGCTGTGGCCGTATCCTGGCGCCTTTCCCAACACCTGCTGGAGCTGCCTCACGCCCGACGGCGACGTGTACCCCGAGGAGATGGCGGCAGGGCCCGATGGCGATGGGCCGAGCCGCGTCTCCCTCACGATCGGGGCGACTCCTGCTGCTGTTCGCCCACCAGGGCGAGTCTACAGATTTCGTGAATATCCTGCCGAGGACGACATGATCGACCTCTTTCGGGACGCTCGCCTGGCCGGCCGCAGCGCCGGCTTGCGCGAGCCCGAGCCGACGACCTTCATGCGCGACGGCGGCCGGCCCTCCAGGAACATGACGGTCAGCTTCAGTGACGTGCCAGGCTTCCTGCGCCGCACGCGGGGCAAGGGCCCGTCCGCTGCTGTGCCGCGCGGCCCACCTCCTGGCTTGCCTGTGGCCCCGCCCCCGCTGGACGCTGCGGGCGCTGAGCCAGGGGCGCTCGCCGACGGCGAGGTCGGGGGCACTCCGACCCCGAGGGGCGGTCCTGGCGCGGTCGTGCTCACGGACGAGCGGGCCGCGCCGCCTGGGTCTGCATGGTTCGTGATGAAGACGATTCCAAACGAGTGCCAGCAGCTCGACGAGGTCGCCCCGAAGGCGGGCGACGTGGTCTGGGGGGAGAGTGGGCTCTACAGCACGACGGGCGGCTTCATCGTCCCGATCGAGCTCCACCCTGTCCCGCTGCCTGCCGAGGTGTCGGACAAGCTAGCTGACGACGACGCCCGCCTCCTCGGCCCTCTCCAGCGCACGCGGGAGGGCCGTAGGCACCGCGACTTTCGTGATGCGGTGTCGGCCATGAGACAGGAGCAGCATGACGACTTCCCGCTCGTCGGCGAGCGCAGCTTCAAGTGGCTGTGCGACTACATCGTCGACCACGGAGGCACACCTGATGGCCGCCACACCAAGTGGATGATGGAGAGCGGCTGCGCCAAGGACTCGGCGGCTGCGCACATCCACGATCTGCTCGGCTTCGCCATCGAGATGGCCGTCACCTACGACCAGGTCGACGGCTCCAACCTCGCCAGCATGGAGGTGGTCTCACGGGCCTACCAGCTGATCGAGGAGACCATGGGGAGCATGAAGATCGAGGGCGTTGAGCACTACATCGGCCGCCAGAAGCAGAGTGCCCGCCGTGGCGTCGCGATGGCGCCGGGGGTCGCTAAGTACGCCACCGACCAGGTCGCCAAGGAGACGGAGATCCAGAAGCAGAGGCGCAAGGCGCGCGAGGAGAAGTCTGCCCAGTCGGGCAAGAAGGACAAGGGTGACCTGGGGTCAGCGGTCGGGAGGTGGCTCGACCCGATCGCCGCATTTTGAGAGCCAGTTTTGTGGGCCTCCTGATGTCCAACCTCCTGGCGATGGCATGCTGCCCTTTGCTGTGTCTGCGTCGCCGATTTCCTCATCTCCCCCGCCTGGACTTTCCCGTTCGGTTCGGGCTCGCCTTTCCCGCGCCCAGTTGATCGAGGAGCGTACTCGGGACACCGTGGAGTGCCTCAACTTGCTTGGGGGCTACGCCACACCGCGGGTCGCGCCAGAGCGCCTCTCACATCTGGATGTTTTGTTGCATCGACGTGTTCGAGGGCTGCATCGTGATATGGCTGCCCCTCCGAGCACGTCGGCCCAGGAAGCCTGCTCAGAGCTTTTGGGCCGCCCGTGTCTGCACTGCGACACGGCCAGCGACTTGCCGCTGAGGCCCTACGCTCCGCACCTCGTGAGCTGGCCCGAGTTGGGAAACGAGCCTCAGTGGCTCGCGGATCGGCTGGGGACACGCGAACGATGCTCTCTCTTGGACCTCGACCATGCTTTGCTGCTGCCGCCACCGAGCTTCGACGAGGCCGTGGAGACAGAGGGGAGGCCCACGTTGTACATGGACTCTGTGCTGGAGCGGAACAGGCCGCTCTACCTTGAATTCATCCAGTCGGGCGTCTCGCGGGGCGTCTTCGTCTTAGGGGAAGAGAGGGCCGAGGACGTCTCCGCCTTCTTCGTGGCTAAGAAGGACGAGCGGATAAGGATGGTGCTGGACTGCAGGCGTAGCAACCAGCGGTTTCAGCCTCCTCCGTCGGTCAGCCTGTTCTCCGCCGCGGGGTTCGCGGACCTCGAGGTGCCGAAGGACACGCCCCTCTACTACGCGGGGGTGGACGTCCAGAACGCGTTCTACCAGCGCAAGCTGCCGGCCTACCTGCGGTCGCACTTCTGCTTGCCGAAGGTCACCGCGGGCGAGCTTGGCATCAGCAGGCTTGACGGGGGGCGTGTCCCGCCCTGGGCCTGCCTTTACCCACAACTTGCCGTTGTTCCCATGGGGTGGAGCTGGGCACTCTTCTTCGTTCAGAAGGCTCACGAGCGGACGCTGGACCAGCACGACGCCCTGAAGCCCGAGCTGCGGGCGGTCGACTTCGTGCCGGTCCCCAGCCCGCTCGAGGAGCCCATCCACTCGCTGTGCGTCGACAACGTGCTCGTGGTCGGCACCGACCGTGAGGCCGTGACCAGGGTCAGGCGTGAGGCCTCCAAGGCGCTGGAGGGCTCCGGCCTGGCCGTCCACGACGAGACCGACGCCGCTGAGAGCATGGCCATGCTCGGCGGGCAGCTGCATGGATCGCCTGCCCGCGCCACCTTGGCGCCACGGAGGTTCTGGAAGCTGTGCATGGGGCTCGGCTACTTGGTTCAACGGCGCCCCCGCGTCACCAGCCGTGACATCGAGCACGTCATCGGCCACTGCACGTTCGCCGCGCTGTGTCGGCGTGAGAGCTTGAGTTGCTTCGGCGCCGTCTACTCGTTCGTCCAGCAGAATTGCCAGCGCGCCAGGCCCCTCTGGGCGTCGGCACGGCGCGAGTTCAGGATCTTCCGCGGCTTGCTGGTCACGCTCGTCTCGGACCTCGACGCCGAGTGGTCCACCAAGGTCGTCATGACTGACGCCTGCCAGACGGGCCACGCCTCTGTCGAGGGCGAGTGGGACCTCTCCGAGGTGCAGAGTGCTGGTCGCTGGCACGAGCGGTGGCGGTTCCGCCACACGCGTGAGGCGGACGGGGGTTGGCGGCCGCGCGACCGCGCGGCACGTGCGGCCGAGGCCGCCGAGCTCGATGCACACCCGTCTGTTCTGTTGCGCCAGGGTCTCGCCAACAAACGATTCCCTGAAGTGTCGACGCACGCCATCCGCCGCACCAGCTGGTCGACCACGCACTACTCGCCACTCTTCGGCAAGGGGCCCATGCATCGTAGGGAGGCAAGGGGTGACTTATACGCCGTGAAGCTGATCCTGTCGGACGCGGACTCCTGGGGGAAGAGGCGCGTCGTCTTGGGGGACAATCCAGCACTCGCACTTGCACTATCTAAAGGACGTTGTCGTGATACATTTCTGCTCAATATCTTGCGGCGAGGCGCCGCCTTGACTCTCGCCTCGGGGGCCCGCATGCATCGACGATGGGTGCCCAGCGAGTTCAATGCGGCCGACGGTGACAGCCGCTCCCGCGAGGGTGCTGCAGGGCGCGCTGCATCTGGGGCCAGCTGGCGCGCTGCCGCGGCGCGCGGGCGCCAGCTTCGGCACCGCCGCAGCTCGGCGCGGGGCCCCGAGGGCGACAGTCGGCTCGACAGCGGCTGGCCCGCGGCCCCAGCGGCCCCGCCTGGACTCGAGCGTAGCCCCGCCACTGGCAGCCGCGCGCCCGCTGCGGCCCCGCGGCCTGGCGGCGCCGCCGTCGGCCAGGCGGCTGAAGCGCAGCGCGCCTGGGAGTGGCCCGACAGCGCAGGCCCCTCCGCAGCCCTCGGCGGCTCGGACGCCGGCGCGCCGCAGCTCGGGCCCCCTGGGCTCGCCTGCCTTGCGCCGCCGCGAGGCTCTGACTCGACGTCCGTCGGTGGTGCTGGCGGCCCCGCGCAGCATCCCCCTGCGGGAGCTGCCGCGCTCTGTGCAGCGCCGCCTGGACGCTGGGGAGCAGGCGCGGGACACCACCCGCCAGCTCTCCATCACCGAGGCAGCCGCGGTGGGACGGCGGAGCCGACTGCAGTACACGCGGCTGCTCGAGCTGTTCCTCAGGCGCAGCCGCTTGACGTCTCTGGCTGCGCCTGCTGCCGACACGGACGCCGCGGTGGTGAGGTTCTTCGACGAGCTGTACCTCGAGGGGAAGGTCGCGTCGACGGGCGAGAAGCTCCTCGCCGCGATCTTCATGCACGTGCCCGACTACCAGAGCAAGGGGAAGCTGGCCCTGCCGCGCGCCTACCGCGCGCTGCGAGGCTGGCGCCTGCTGCGGCCATCGCGGACGCGGCGCCCGCTGCCCTGGGCGGCTTGCATGGGCGTGGCGCGCCAGATCTGGAGGATCAGCGGCCGCCCCGCCCTCGCGGTGTTCTGGCTCCTGATGGTGGACGCGTACCTGAGACCTGGCGAGGCGTTCCGCCTGACCTGCGGCCAGGTGATTCCTCCGCAGGCGCACATGCCCAAGGTGACGATCCACATCAACCCCGACTACATGAAGAGGCCGAGCAAGACTGGCGAGATGGACGAGACAGTGGACGTGGCACGTCCGTGGCTGGGCAACCTTCTGGTTCGGCTGGCCCAGGGCCCGCCCAGCGCCCCCCTGTGGACGTTCTCCATGACGGAGGCCAAGGACGTGTTCGAGCGCGCGGCTCGCGCGCTGCACTTGGACAAGCTGCTGCCCGTGCTCTACACAGCCCGACACAGCGGTGCGTCCATCGACCGCTTCACGGGGGGGATCTCGTTGCAGGAGGTCCAGCGGCGCGGCCGCTGGCGCCGACCGAGCTCGGTCAGGCGCTACGAGAAGCGCGGGCTCATCCAGGCGGTGTGGAGCGAGATGGGGCCCTCAGCCAAGGCATGCTGCCTCCAGGCCGAGGCCGAGCTGCCCTCGCTGCTCGGCGTCGCCTCGCTATCCGCCAACGCTTGAGCGACCCCCGCGCCAAGAGACACGAGTATTTCTATGTAGAAATCTTCTCGGGCTCAGAACATTTCTCGAATTCGTTGCGCCGTCGTGGTTTCAGAGTGTACTCTTTTGATGTGCTGCAAGGGCCCCAAGGTGACCTCCCGAGGCCCGCTGTCTTTAGGCGCATCTTGAGAATGATCAAGTCCGACAAATGTCTCGGTGTGCTAGCTGGTGTGCCATGTAAGTCGTTCTCCATTGCCCGAGGAGGCCGTAATGCAATCAGATCGTCGCAAGCTCCCTCTGGCCTCCCCTCGCTCCCGCCTCATCTGCAATGCCTGGTAGACGAGGGCAACAAACTGTTTCAGGTGTCCTGTAAGATCTTTAAGTGCTGTAAACAGATGCGGGTTCTTTTTTTGTGGGAGAAACCTCAGTCATCCTACATGTGGAAAATGGATGCTGCCGTCCAGATGTTTCGCTGGCCCGGGGTCCGCGACATTATAACTAACTATTGCGGTTGGGGCACGCCGCGGTGTAAACCCACTAGGCTGAGATGCTTCCTGCTGCCGAGAGCCGACGACTTGTGTAAGCGTTGTAAAGCTGTTCGTGGCATCTGCTCGTTCTCTGGAAAGAAACACCAGATTCTCCAGGGCCGAGACGGCCTGGGCATTCACTGGACCGCTCGCGCCGCAGCTTACCCTCACGTGCTTGCGAATCGAATGGCCGATGTGTTTCAAGATGCTGCATTCGATCGTGTCTTTCGGCAAACCATCCGCCTGTACCCCTTCCGCGTGCATGACCCCGAGCCGCACTGACGGCAGTGAGCCGATAGCGACTTTTGGTGCCTCGAATGTCGGCACGGATCTGTAATGTGCGTTGTTGTGTGTGTCACGCCGGCGTGCTCCCAGAGTTGTGCTGTCTGCAAGGTCACCACATGCGGATGACATATATGAAAGTTCTGTGTAAAAGGACGGGTGGGGAATCTCCGACATGTCCTCAGAACGTGCAGGAGATGAATACACAGAGTCCGATACGTTTCGCTCAAGCCTCCCTCCCTGTCTGAACTGGTGCACGACCTACCCGCCCTAGCTTTTGGCGGGCCGCAAGCAATTGTCTTGGCTGCACGGATCTGTAATGTGCGTTGTTGTGTGTGTGTCACGCCGGCGTGCTCCCAGAATTGTGCTGTCTGCAAGGTCACCACATGCGGATGACATATATGAGAGTTTTGTGTAAAAGGACGGGTGGGGAATCTCTTGATGATGATGGTGATGATGATGATGATGATGCTGATGATGATGATGCTGATGATGATGATGGTGATGATGATGATGATGATACGAGGCTGCTGCTGATGATGATCCTGACGACGATGACGCTGATGATGAAGATGAGGAGGAGGATAATTATGCTGACCTGGAAGACGCGCATGGCGAGGAGGAGGAGGAGGCAGAGGATAATGATGAGGAGGAGCAGGAGGAGCAGGATGAGTAGGACTAGGAGGGAGAGGGGACATGAGACGGAGTTGGAGGTGGAGCCGCCGAAGGGGGGAGGAAAATGAAGTGGAGCCGGACGCGGAGGCGGAGGACGCAGCCATTTTCACGTTTGCCCTCTGTTGGTAGTTTCTCGGCTCGCACGTGCTTTAGATGACGCTGGCGGCAGTCACAGGAACTCGCGCCGCACCCCGCAGCAGCGCTCGACGGTGCATGAGGGCGCTCTGGCCGATCGAGGCTGCATCACGCCAGCTTGACCGTTATCCCGACGAGCCGAGGAGGCCCGCTTCATGCGATGTTCAGGTCGCGGGCCTAGTCAGGGCCTTCCTCCCTCCTCCTCCTCCTCCTTCTCCTCCTCCTCCTCCTCCTCCTCATCCTCCTCCACAGTTACACAATATGAATACTACTCTCCTCCATCCCCTGATGGCGTGCGGAAGATAGCGGGCACCCCTCCGCGTACTGTTTTTTACACACAGGATTTCCCGGAGTTGGGTTTTCGCTTTTTTATTTCAAAATGATGCTCTCGCTGAGGCGCGGGCTTCATTTTCGGGCTTCCGCTCGTTCCGAATCGTGCTCCCCCTGCAGCGCTGGCCTCATTTCTGTGCTTCCGCTCGTTCCGAATCGTGCTCCCGCTGCAGCGCTGGCCTCATTTCCGCGCTTCCGCTCGTTCCGAATCGTGCTCCCGCTGCAGCGCTGGCGTCATTTCCCGTGCCATGCCACGGCATGCAATGCAATGCTAGGTTGCGTTCCGTTGCGCGATGCCATGCCTTCAGCTACAGCTGCCATATCCATTGCGTAAGTGCCACGTCCTGCTATGCCATGCTACGCTTTGATCTTCAACACCATGCTATGCAATGTTCTATTCGGGGCCGCTGTGCGATGCCATGCTTTGCGTTGCAAAGCTTTGTGATGCAATTCTTCACTACGCGACGCCACGCCATGCTGTGACATACTACGCTTTGCGGTGCTCTTCTACGCCATGCCATGCCGTGCTCTACAATGCATTGCGTACCCTTTCGGGATCATTGCCCTGCTCAACTTCCGACTGTGCGAGTAGAGAGGGGATCTCCGCCATGGTAAGGGATGGGAGGGAGGGGTAGGATGTCAGATATGACGCGAGCGCACCTAGCTTGTCCTCCCCCTCCTCCTTCTCCGCCTCCTCCCCCTCCTCCTCCTCCTCGTCCTCCTTCTCCGCCTCCTCCGCCTCCGCCTCCTCCTCCTCTTCCCTCCTCCTCCTCCTCCTCCTCCTCCTCCTCCTCCTCCTCCTCCTCCTCCTCCTCCTCCTCCTCCTCCTCCCCCTGGGCGCCTGGACGGGACGCAGTCGATGAGGGGTGGAGGAGCGGGGCCCCCCCGAAGCGCCCAGGGGCCCAGGGGTCCGAAGCGGCGCCCAGGGGTCCGCTGTCCTGGTCGGCCACACGCAGGAGTGACCTTTCGCGCTGGAGCGACTTTCGGTGCTCTGCTTTCGGGGGTCGCTGCCAGGGGGCCACGTCCGAACCCTACCCCTACCCCCCACGACTGCCGACGAGGAGGGTGAGGTTCACTTCGCTCGGGAGCTCCCGAGCGGAGTGACCCCCGCCCTCAGAAATCGTGTGTGTGTGTGTGTGTGTGTGTGTGTGTGTGTGCGTGTGCGTGTGCGTGTGCGTGTGCGTGTGCGTGTGCGTGTGCGTGTGCGTGTGCGTGTGCGTGTGCGTGTATATGTGTGTGTGTGTGTGTGTGTGTGTGTGTGTGTGTGTGTGCGTGTGTGTGTCTGTGTGCGTGCGTGCGTGCGTGCGTGCGTGCGTGTGTGTGTGTGTGTGTGTGTGTGTGTGTGTGGAGTGTGGGTGTGTGGGGGTAGTGGTAGGGTTCGCATGTGGCCCCCCTAGCTGCGGAGCTGGGCCCAAGCACGCAGGCCGCTTTTGTCGCACCGCGCGCAGGGGCTGGCAGGCCGCGCACCAGAGGTCACTCTTGCCCAGGGTTTGCTCCTGCGCGTCGCCGGCCTGGTCGGTCAGCCGCCGAAGGGGTCCCAACTGGTGACCCTGCGACAACGCCCCCAAGAGAGCCCCAAGAAGGCCACAAGAGGCACCCAAGAGACCCCAAGAGGCCCCTAAGAGGCCCCCAAGAAGCCCCCAATAAGCCTCCAAGCGGCCCCGCGGAAGAGCTGCGATGCATGCCCAAGCAGGTGGCCTCGCGGTGGCGACCGCCAGCAGCGACGCAGCTCAAGACCCCAGCGGCCGCGGATGTGGATGTTGTCGGGCGTGCACCCAGAGTAAGTAGCGCCGTCCTGAACCAACTGGTCACAGGGGGCCTGGTTGACCAGGACCAGCCTCGGGCAGGGGTTCACCGCCGAGGATACGCGGCCAGGTCGAACCAGGGGTGGGAAAGTATCCGTAGCACTCCAGCAGCCGTGGATGTGCATTTTCTTTTGTGGTGCATCCATCATAAGTAGCGTTCTCGTGAGTCAGCGAGTCACGAGGGACCTGGTTGGCCAGGATCCGTTGGCGCGTGCGGCGAGGTCGTGCCATTCGGCATGCGCTGTCCGCAAACGTACCCTGTACGGGTCCTCCGTGTGAGAGCGTGCGCGGCACGTGGCCACCACCACCATCGCTGGGACTGACCAGGTCAGTGTCGTGGGGGAGACCCCAGTAGCCGAAATTGCCAAGCATTCTTGTGCACTGTTTTTGTTCACGACGCAGGGGGTATGTGAAATTATGTATGCAAGGCCAGAGCCGTCGATTAAGCATCAACGTTGATTTTCCCACGATATCAAATCACGCGACTGCCGCGCGCTCCTCTCCTTGCTTCCTCGCCCTCCTCGCCCTCTTGCCTTCCTCTCCCCTCACCGGCGTCGCGGCCGCGGCACCAGACAGCGACGATCCCGAGCCAACATTTGGCCACCGAGATCGGCCACTGCGCACCGAGTGAGTCTGCCGGGAACGATGAGCGCTCGCCTCCCCCTCCTCCTCCTCCTCCTCCTCCTCCTCCTCCTCTCCTCCTCCTCCTCCTCTCCTCCTCCTCCTCCTCCTCCTCTTCTCCTCCTCCTCCTCCTCCTTTCCTCCTCCTCCTCCTCCTCCTCCTCCCTTCCCCTCGTCCTCCTCCGCTTCCTCCTCCTCCTCCTCCTGCGCCTCCTCCTCCTCCTCCTCCTCCTCCTCCTCCTCCTCCCCTCCTCCTCCTCCTCCTCCACCTCCTCCTCCTCCTCCTCGTCCTCCTCCTTCCCCCCCCTCCTCCTCCTCCTCCTCCTCCTCCGCCTCCTCCTCCTCCTCAGCCTCCTCCGCCTTCTCCTCCTGCGCACAGCCTGAGGCGCCACAGAGTCTATGACACCACAGCCGTCAGTTGGCGTGGCTGTGGGCGCACCTTACAACCGCCCTCAGCCACGCGCTTCGGACAGGGCCCGCAAGGGCCAACGCTCCTGCCGCGAGGCTACACCTCAGGCAGAGAGGACTGCGCACGGCCAGACCGCCAGCGCGCGCGGAGGGGCAGTGCAGGACCAGCAAAAAGTGGGTCACAGCACGAGCCCGCGTAAGAAAGAAAAGAGAGGGGAGGGCGGGCCGAGGGCCACGGGGCGATCTCCCTTACTGGGAGGATCCCCTATGGCCAACGACCTGCCCCACAGAGCGCGACCCCACGGTGGGGTCGGGCTGTTCCTGACCATGAGCATCGAGAGCATCGGGCAAAACGTTAGGAGGAGGACGAGGGCGGCCACTGGCAGCTGCCAGCAGCCGCTGAACAATGGCAGCAAGCTCTGCCTCAGTGCGCTGCGTGCGCTGCTTGCGCACAGGCACGGCGGTGTCCGAAACACCTCCTCCGCCTTCTCCTCTTCCTCCTCCTCCTCCTCCTCCTCCTCGTCCGCCTACGCCCCCTCCTCCTTCTCGTCCTCCTCCTCCTCCCCCCTCCGTCTCCGCCCTCCCGCCCTCGGCCACCTGGAGGCGGGGAGCGCCGGCTGGCTCTGCTGGGGCCGATCCGCTTAATCCAGCTTAGTCCCGCTTAATCCGCAGCTTAATTTGGCGTAGCAGCCCCCAAATGGGGCTTAATTCTCCCCAATCCCTCCGACGAAGACCTTCCAGTAGTTGCCTCCCAACGTGGAGCTCCAGACCCGGACCGCGGAGGGCTGGCAGTCGGCGCTGCGCGCGGAGGGTGTTCGGGGCTCGGTCAACATTGAAGCAGTGTGGCAACTTATATGGGCTGCCTGGAAAGGATGCCCGGCACGGGATTTGTCGACGTCATCGCGTATTTATGAGATCGCGCTTCAGTATCCACACCACAAGGGTATGGATATGGAAAGGTTCGTCGCTAGCGGGCTGCCAGAGTGGCTGGTGAGCGGGCCTGTTATGACGTCTCGCAGTTGCCGGTCGAAAGTAATCAGGCTAGGGCAAGACATGTTTCAAGGCGGTAGTGGCTGGAAGGGTATTGCTCCGCAGTGTGGGCGTGATCTCTGGTCGTATGGGATGCTCAGTCCTCCCGCTTCGAGGGTTCGTTGGACCAGTGTGAAGTCGAGCCCGAGCTGGGTTTGGAGGAGGAGGCGAGGATGAGGAGGTGGAGGGGGAAGAGTATAGGAGGAGAAGGATACTTACTGATGAAATTGATGATGAGGAGGAGGCGGAGAAGTGGGAGGACGAGGGAAGAAGACTGAGGAGGAAGATCTGGCATGAGGTGGAATCGCTGTCGAAGTCGAAGTCCGTGTCGGAGGAGGGGGAGCCACGCGGTGTGGGAGGGGCTGAAGGGTGATGTGGAGGGGGATACAAAAGGATGAGTCGGATAAGAAGGGGAGAGAAGGGAAGGGCAAGGGGAGGGGAGCGGACGGCGCTATGATTCCTGCTCCTGCGTCCCTACTTCTTGCCTCCCTCCCTCACCTCCTCCCTCCCTGCCCCCTCGTCCTCCTCGTCCCCCTCCCCCCCCCTCATCCGCCTTTCGCCGCCTCCCCGCCCTTCACCCCCTATCTCTCGCTCCCCCTCCTCCTCCTCCTCCTCCTCCTCCTCCTGCTCCTCTTCCTCCATCCTCCTCTTCCTCCTCATCCTCCTCCTTCTGCTGCTCCTGCTCCTGCTCCTGCCCCTGCTCCTCCTCCTCCTCCTGCTCCTGCTCCTGCTCCTGCTCCTGCTCCTCCTTCTCCTCCTCCTCCTGCTCCTGCTCCTGCTCCTGCTCCTCCCTCCTCCCGCGCTGGCCGCAGGCGCGGTGTTCCAGGACTTCGGCGGCATGCCGAGCCCCAACCCCCCGGGCCTGGTGACGCCGAAGGTGGCGCCCGCCCCGTTGCCGGCGCTGGCTAAGGCTGCTGGAGGGGGAAGGTGAGAAGGAGGAGGAGGAGGAGGAGGAGGACGAGGAGGAGGACGAGGAGGAGGAGGAGGAGGAGGAGAAGGAGGAGGAGGAGGAGCAGGAGGAGGAGCAGGAGGAGGACGAGGACGGGGACGGGGCACGGAGGAGGAAGGCGTCCCCTTCCTTGGCTTTTGCGGCTTGTCTTTTAGGCAAGTAGGGCATGCCGCCAAACTACGCCCAAAACATACTCATGCTCCTCCCCCCTCTTTCCTCCCTTCTACACCTCTTCCTCTTCACGCGGGAACTCGAAAAGTAGTCCGACCTTCTCACCCCCTCTTTTGCCTGGCTTGCTATAGTGCTTCCCTGGGCGCTTGGCTCAAGGTTGCAACCTAGCGCGCCCCCCCTAGATTCGGTGTCACACTCGCCCGCCTTATTCAGCCCAAACGCACACTTTCTTTTGCCATCCACCTCTTACATCAATATTTCGAGTTGGTAGCGGAGCTTCGGCTCACTTCCACGGCCGCAATGGCTTTTCATTCTCGCCTCGCGTCGACCGCCACGGTTTTCAGACATCCAGCACCTCATCGAGCTGGACACGCTGGGCCGCCTTCTTCGCCTTAGTGCAGTGGTACCTGACTGCCCTCGGGGCAGTCGCCCTCCCGCCTCCAGGGCCCGTGGAGGAGAACGTGCACAACCAGTACCAATGAACGAGACCATCAAGAGTGAGTCAACCTCTCCCACCGCCGTCTCTGTGCCGCCGCCGCCCGCTACTGCTGCGCCATATTGCGCTTCCGCAGGTATTTGTTTAGAGGGCCATGCTGGCACCGCAGGCCAGTTGCAAGCGTGTACAAGAAGGCAGCGCGTCGGGTTGTCGCCGTGTCGTCGTCTCCCCTTCCCGTGCACAGGTATCCTTAACATACCAGTTTAACGTACATCTCAGCCATGTCGAAACGAGAAGTCCAGAGCAGTAGTGAGACCCACATTGCATCATCTTCGCGCTCTCAATGGATGAGGACCCCCGGTTCCTCTTGGCAAATCGTTGGTTTCCAGCCGGAAGCCATGGTTGTATCCGACGGCCGCGTGGACATGAATGAAGCTTCTGGCTTGGTTGTAAAATCTGCGATAGCCGAAGGATCTATAAGTAATATCGTGACATAGTTGGTCGGCCAGCCACCCGCCGATGTTCCTCCAATGTCTCTCGTCGATGAACCGTTCGTGCAAGCTCAGGGAGAAGCCTCGGCGTTGGTCTACCCAATGGCTCTAATACTTGTCCCGTGATACAAGGAGTTCAGGGGGCACCTGATGAACCCATGCCGCCGCCTTCGAATGCTAGGTGTCAGACCCTCAATTTCCAGTTGATGTCTAGATTTCGTTGGCGGTCGAGGAGCAGTCAGGACTCCCGTGGCCAGTCGTCGGGTCGTTTCTCGGTCAGGGAAGGCTGTTGGGCACAGGGATCACGAAACCCGACCACGGCAGAAACCACATGCGCAGGAAGTGTTAGGGAAGGGGACGGTCCGTGAACTTCGCGATCGTGCGATTGCTTTTATGCAGGGGCTCCAACGGCAAAGGGACGAACAGGTTTGGCATATGCACGATGAGGAGGAACATTGTTAGCTGTCTCTCATGGAAGTTGAACGTAGCAAGAGAGAGAGAGAGAGAGAGAGAGAAAAAGAAGAGACCGATGAATCTGCCAAATTTTCGACATTGGAAATGGAAAGGGACGCGCGGGGGAGGAATTGCAGATGCGATATCAACTGCAGGCTGCCGAAAAAGCGGCACATAAGTACGAGCGAGAGGTGGAAGTTGTCTTCCAAGAGAGGACGGCTCAGGCTGCTGGAATGGTACAGCGTGTCACGGAGGAGTCGTCTGCTGTGGTGCATCAGGCAAACATTCGGGGGCATGCTGTCACCGAACACAGGAGGGCGAGGACAAGCTCAAGAAGGATTTTGTCAGAAAGAAGCATGCACGCAGAGAACTAGATGCCTTGCGAGAGTTTCAATCTCGGGATGATTTAGCTATGCGAGAGGACCTTTCGGCGCCGCAGGTTCAACCTGTGGCGCCCAGTGGTGCTGTCTCAAAGCCATCGGCTAGAGCTTCCTCATTGCAGGTACAGTATATGACGTTAGGAAGCATGTGCTGACGTTGCAGGTTCAACTCGAGACGTTAGGACAGCCGACCAGCCATATTCTGGGGCTGAGCTTTCAAAGCGAACTCAGGAGCGTGCTTCCGCCGTCGCCGGGCGAGGTAGCCATTGCGCATGCCTAAGCGAATGGTCATGCAGACAGAACTACCACCCTTCTGGTAGGGCGCTAGCGAATGATTGTAACTTCGGGAAGTTTGGAGGTCTGACACTTTTGTACATTGCCAGGGCCTGAGATTTGCGCTGGCACTCCAAGTTTTGTTGCAAGTATCGTGTTGATCTACCGCTGGCGATGCCAGGGGCAGAGGTAACGTGCGCCAAGAATAGACACGAGGACCAGCGCATGCAATCCCAGCAGTGGGAAGAACAAATGAAAATAGCTACTTTCCATGAAGCAGCAGGCATATGTGATGGAGACAGTTCGACAGGGAAAGGAATGACTCGAAGGGCCATGCAGTCTATGAGGAAGGTGGACTCCCCGGATCACTCGCTTAAGTCAAAGTGCGTCGATGGCATATTTTCTTCGCAGGAATTCCGTGTTTTCCAGTTATGGTGGGCCCGCCACAGGGCCTCCCAGAGAAACCGCCCAGTGCTCCCGATGAGATACTTAATTTACCTCCGCACGTCCGGTCCAACCCGAGGTGGAAACGGAGGATATGGGGGCCAACCCGGGGGTGGGGTGGGCGCGGGGGGGGCGAAGGCGGAGGCGGTGGATATCAAGGACCATTGGCATCTGCCAACTGCGGAGCACGCCGACGCCTCAGTACAATGCTCTGTGACGCTCGACCAGGACGAGTACACGGATGCCCTGGCATCGATCAGGCTCGTCGACCCGGTAAAGGCCAAGGCTGACAAGCCAGCCGGAGGTCAGTTTCCAAAATGGTTGTCTCCTCCCTGGGAGCAGCAGCTTAACTTCGAAGGGTCTTTAGCTCTCATCCGTCTCCGTGTTTCTCTCGGCCGGGAACGAACTCGACCCTTCTCCTCCCCCTTTTCCTCCTCCTCCTGCTCCTCTTCTACATCCTCCTCCCCCTCCGCCTCCTCCTTCTCTTCTGCCCCTCCTGCTCTTCCTCCTCCTCCTCCTCCTCCTCCTCCTCCTCCTGCCCCCCCTCCTACTCCTCCTCGCGTTCGTCATTGTCATTGTTGTCGTCGTCGTCGGGGCGAAAATTAGGTTTCCTTTATTTTTGGGCGGGCTGGATAATGTTGGGGGCTTCCTTCTTCCGGGGAATAGCCCGCTGCGGACCACCTTTCATGCGACAGGATTTGAGAGCGTTATTTTTTGGCTTGAGGAATACAATGGAAATCCGTTGTTGTGGTTGTAGTCGTGATTGTAGTCGTGAGTGTAACCGTGGGTGTAATCGTGATTGTAGTGGTGGATGTAGTCTTAATCGCAGTCTCGATTTTCGTTGTAATCGTAGGTGTGGTTGTACGTTGTAATCGTAGTTGTGGTTTTAACCGTAATCGTTATCGCAATAGTTGCCGCGTCGTAGTTGTAGTTGTAATCGCGGGCATCGTCATCGCCATCGTCGTCGTTGTTGCGCGGCGATCGCCGTGGAGAACTGTTTGGATGGATTGCAGTAAGTGGGAGTTAATAATCGTGGGGCCGCACGCGGTTGTGGTTCAAGTTTTTTTGTTTGTTGTTTTTTTATTGTTTTTGTTGTTTTGTTTTTTTTTTTTCCCCCGAGGTCGTCCAGACGTTCTCGGATGTGGCATCAGGCTGTCGTTTGGGCGTGGGAGGCTTCAGTCACGTATTTCGCCTCCTGCCCCAAGGCTCCTCCTTGCCCCGGTTGTCCGCAGTGCCCTGCGATGCCGACGATGCTGGCCTGCCCCGCTTGCCCCGGCGCCCCCGCGCTGGCTGCCTCGCCGCTGGCCTGCGGCGGGCCTGCGGCGCTTCCCGATCTGCGCCTGCTCGTGGCCTTCGCGGGCTTGCTGGTCCTGGCGAGCTGCGGGTGCCTGGGCGCGGCCCTGGTGGCGGTGTGGGGCGCGGGGCGCCAGCTCGGAGGAGGCGCGAACGCGGCCGCGGCGGCGGCGGAGAACGTCGAGCCGATTCAGGACCAGGAGGCCGAGCTCGGCAACCTTGCCCAGGAGTTGTTGAGATTGCTCTGCCAGCGGGGCAGTCGCGCGTGAAGTCATGGCGGCGGTGGCTCCACCGCCCGTCCAGGGCCTCGGGATCGAGGCTGGGGATTTCGGAGTTGTTCAGTATAACGTGCCGGGCGCTCCTCTGTATCACGAACGGTTCGTTTTCATCGAGCCAGGCGCTGGCACTGCCGTGGGCGCGCCGATCCCAGACGGCGAGAATTTCGGGGAGGATCGGACGCAGGGGCCAGACATCGTATGGCACGGACTGATGATTGGGGGGGCTTGCGGCGGCGCTGCGCCGCCAGGCGCTAGAGGGTTCGCGGTGCCTGTCTACCGCTTCCAGCACGTACCCACGCCCGCGGTTTTCCAGGCCGCTCGCGCGGCCGCGGCGGCGAGGAGGGGGCCCCCCGTGCTTGGCGACGGCAAGCCACCCAACTTGGTGGGGCGCGCGATCGCCGCACGCGCTGGCGCCGTTCCCGCCGCCCCCGCGGTCGCTGCCGGACCTGGTCTTCCCGCTGTCGGCGCTGGAGTTGGTGCGGTGGCCGCTGCCCTCGGCCCCGCGCTTGGAGCTCCAGTCGCTGCCGGGCCAGCCGCAGGAGGAGTGGTCCTACTTGGCGCAGGTGCCGCGGACGGCTTCCCGCAGGCTGCCGGGGCGGTGGCTGCTAGCGCCCCCGTGGCGGCACCTCTGCCCGTGGGGCCTGGTGGCGTGCTGGTGCCCGTTTGAGCTGCTCCTGCCGTAGCAGCGATGGCGGCGTCGAGAACCATCTCATGTGCTGCAAGATGCTAGAGAACATGGCGACCTTCGGTCAACTTAATTTTCCCGATATCGCGGGCGCAGAGATCACGGCGCGGGCTATCCAGCTCTCACAGGAGCGCTACCGCGACAGGATGCCGAGTTTCGCGGGCGGCAGTGGCGACGCCACTCAGGATGCTTTCTTGTGCATGGGGCTCGACCATATGCGTGGAAATGTTGCAGTGTGTCTGGCTCTGCAATCTTGGGCGCCGGCCGAATTTTAGACGGAAGTGTCCGTCGCGAAGGGGCGCCGCAAATCCCGCGATAAGAGGCAGAGCGCTAAACAGAACAATGGCAAGACCAAGCAGGATGGCAAATACGATGGCTGATCCATCGCGGGTGGCGGAGTTCGGCCGACCGTCGCCTCTCGGATTGGATGCCAGATCTCCGGGTGAAGCCATCGCATCGCCTGCCGCTCCTGTTCATATCTCTTCTCCTCCTGGCCTCTCTCTGGAGGCCGCTCCCTCACATTTGCAGTGTGCGTCATTCGGCTACCCTCCATGAACAACATGGCTGGTCACTTGTGGCGATTATGTGATCAGCGCCGCAACGAACAGATCATGGACACGCTCCGGTGCGACACTCGGGACCTGAGGGCCGACTTCATGACCAAGGGCAGCGTCGGTAGGGAACTCATCCGCAACGTCATGGGCGGCAAAATCAGCTACGATCGCAGCTCCGTGAAGCTGACGACGAGAACAAACAGCCCCGAATTCTCACCGCAACAGTTTCACATAGAAAAAACGACCATAACGGCCAAGTCATCAGATCGCCAAGTTTCGCGGGCGTACACGTGAGTGTTGTTCCCGCTGAGTGTGTCGGCGGAGCAGCAGCATCCATGAGGCATTGCTCCATCAACTGTTAATAACAGGGCGGTCAGAAGAGCCCGTTGTGCTTCCGTGCTGTTGGTAGGTTGCGATCAGTAAAGCACCCTGTTGGCACACAGTGTTTTATGTCTTAGGTTCCAGCGCGGTGTGCCCGGCGACCGACGAGGCACAACGGGCTCGCTTGAGCACCTGACTCGAACGGTCGCCCTGCCTTCTCACCCAAACCTTGCTTGGCATGCTATTCGTGTTTCTTTGGGCGTTTGGCTCAAGGTTGCATCTTATCACGCCCGCTGTATACGTCCTGTTATCCTGTCATTCGCCCGCCCTTGTCAGCAACAACGTACATTATCCTTTGGCTAACCACCTCTTACATCCAGCTCTCTTGTCAGAAGGGGTCGTCCTCAAGAGCTAAGCTCTCCATGGCTTTGCTTTTCTCATACGCGTGAGAGAGCGATCGCGGGTCTCGGCTTCTGCGCAGTTCTTCCTCCCTCTCCTTCATTCTCGTCCTGCCCTCAAGTCACGCCGCTTCGGCGCCCCCTTCCCGAGGCCACTCCGGCGGCCCCCCAGCCGGGCAAGGGGCAGACGAGCGCCACCGTGGACGTCCCCTCGGGCACCATCGCGGTGCCGCCGCGCGCGCGGGGGCGGGTCCACGCTCCGCTTGCCTCGCAGAAGAACAGCGCAACATACACGCGCCAGCTTGGGGGAGTTCCGCGCGGATCTCTTCGGTCGGCGCACGGCTCTCCTTCCCACGCCCGGGCGCCCTGGGGGCGCGCCTCTGGCGCCGCTCCCGGCGCGCCGCGCGGGCCGGGTAGGGGGCGGGTGGGAAGGGTCCGGCGCCAGCCCAAGACGTTCGCGTGGACCTGTGCTTTGTTGTTTTTTTGTACGCTGGTTGTTCTTCCAATCCAGCGTGGCGAGAAACAACATCAGGGTCACGTTTTTCGTGGCCTCTGGGGGCCCAGTTTTGGACCACCAGGGCCGCCGAAGGACAGCGCCAGTCGCCAGGATGGGCTCGACAGCTCTGTGACCCGCGTGTGGGAAATCCTGACATCGGATGTCTGCGAGTTTTGATGCACCACCGTGGCTTCTCCGCCCAGGGATCGATCGCACGGCCTTCCTGCTCATCCTCCGCTTCCGCCTCCTCCCGTTTCCCTCGCCCCACCCTGATTGCTTATCATTCTCCATCGGTCGCCATTTTGTGTCCAGATATTCGGTTCAAGTTGATTTGTCTCATGTTCATCGCTTCGCCGTGCTTGTCGACGTGCGCCGCTCCCGTCCGCACCTACCTTGTTAGAATGATGGCCACCACGAAGTGGTCACCCTGTGCCCAGTGAGCTGTCGATCTATAGTCCCAAGCGGAACATCCGCAAACGGATCAGATTGACGTCCCATACGCGGTCTTTTCGCAGCGGGGACGGAACGGTGTTATCTGTCGATCTGCTGGATGCCGAGAGTGGTGAGATCCGCTCGAGCTTCAGAGGGGCAAGCGCCTCACCTTCTCAAGCGGCAGCATGCGGGGTTCCAAACCGGCAGTGCAGCCAGTGCAACCATCGCTACGAGCTACCTTTCGACAAGTCTTGCAAAGTCCAAAAGGTCGGTGAGGCGGCCCAGGTCAAGACGCACGTCTTCAAGGTGACAGCCTGCGGGTGGTGTAGTCGAAGACTCCGCCACTCAAGACCGACCTCTTCGCTGCCATCGTTGGCTTCCAGCCCAAATATGCGTTCTCCTCCAAGGCTTGCCAGGATCTTATGAAACGCGACATCACCGTTGCTGACGATGCAGCGACTGCCACGACGGTCGTGCCTCGGGGCGACTGCGAGGCAGGATGGCTCCGCGGTCGTTGGGCACCCGCTCTTCGCGATCCAAAGCGTGTCCGCCAAGGGGCGGCACGGCGGTCGCAGCGGGTCGCCGCTGGAGTCTGGCGGCCTCCTCTTTGACAAGGGCGCCCTCGAGGGCGCGAAGTTGTTCGCGCTTCGCGCTTCGCGGTTCGGCTCCGATTCGCCTCCTCCTCTCCCCCGGGAGGCGGCGCGAGAGCGCGGAGTTATGCGCACGTCGCGCTTCGCGCAGCGCGGAGCGCGAAGTTGGGAGCCCTTGTTTGACACTGTTGCGCGAGGCGCAGACTTCGCAGGCTTATGTCGGGGGTGTCCCCCCGCAGGGGGATTTTCGACGAAGAATAAAAGATACCCCCAAAATACCCCAAAAATACCCCAGACTGTTTTTGGACTATTTTTGGACTATTGTTCATTTTTCGTAGAAAATCCCCCTGTAGGGGGACAGGCCCGACTTAACCGCAGGCCGACGTCGCTTACCGCCCCTGGCTCACCACCTTCCACGAGGCCGCTCAGATGGAGATGGGACTGAGCGCCGACCACGTCAAGGCGCTGGAGGACGGGGAGAGTCGCGAGGCCGCGGAGGCCGCCATCCGCAAGGCGTACCGCCAGGAGCCCGTGCAGGTGACCTTACCCGCGAAGCTCGAAAGCTACAACGGCGAGGCCCGCTCGAACGTGAGGTGCATCGAGGCGCGGTCGCTCTCGCTCGACGAGCGGGGCCGGGCGACGCTTCAGAAGATCGATCGGATGGTGGTGTTGGAGGCCTGGTCGGAGTCGCGGTTTAATTGCCGTCGTTGGTTTCTATTTTCACGACGGCGTTTGCTTCGTCTGCTCAGTTCCCACTATTCACGAGTGGGCATCGGATGGATTGTATTCGAGGGCTGTGACGAGCCCTGCGCCGTACCCACTGCTGATTCTTGGTTGTCAGGACAGGTGATTTGCACGGACGATGCTTGCGGTTGAAAGATGGGGCACATCTTTTTGGAGGGAGGAGGCTGGGAGGGGGGAATCCTCCTCCTGCTTCCTGCTGCTTCTCAACCTTCGCTGCCTGCCCTGTGCCACACGCGCCTGCCTGCAGAAACCGTACAACATAGCCTGTGGCAATCGCGTATGTATACGGCTCGTCGACATGCTCTTTCTTCTTCTGCTTCGGGGGGAGGCCTTCGTGGCTTCGGCTACGCGCGGCGCGAACAGCTGGTGAGGATCGTGTGCGAGTGAGGTACGAGGGCTCGTACAGAGCGGAGAGTCTGGCCGTGCAAAGGATGGTGGTTTGATCGTCTGCTTGCTTGACTGGTCAATTTGTTGATTGATATGGCAATACGATGATGGCAACTCTGCTGTTGGTGGCTACTTGGGTGAGGTCGACGACATCTCTAGCGACGTCGATGGCGATGACGACTACGGGCGATGATCATGCATATGATGCAGTCGATGAATTCGATGATGATGGTGATGATTGGCTGACTGCATTGTAGGTGCGTAATCCTGTAGCGATGCACTCGAGAATGGCCAAACAATCTCACGCATGGGACACACTCATATAAATACAACAACTGCGGGAGTCAAGGGCTTTGGCCAGCACGCGGGCAAACACGACAATTGTATGACATTCTTATTCTGTCGGTGATGATGGCGGTGATGGTGACGATACTGACGACGATGGTGCCGCTGCCATTGTTGTTGCTGATGAGGAGAACGGCGGGGGCTACGTGCTTCAAGGTTTCACGCTTCGACGTTCACTCTGACAGGTTTCCTGGAGATTCCTGGGCCCTTGAGCTTGGACAAGGGCTGTAGAAGAGAGGAGATGGGAGCGCCATGACGAGTTGGAGGGGAGTTTGACTTGTTCTTGAGGCCAGGACTTTCTGGAGTCTCGGAGGAGATACCTTTATTCTCGAGTTTTCGGGGAGCCCCTGCACGGGCGCGCAAACGGGAGGCAGAGGCTAGCCTCACCGATGTTCCTACGCCTCTTGGGCTGAAGGGCCAGGGCTCTCCTTCTGGTCACCAGGGTGCTGCCCCGTCTGCTGTCCGCGCTGCCTACTCGGATTGTACTGTGCTGCTCGTGGGCCGATGTTTGGTGTGCGAGAAGGCGGGATGCGAGCCGCGGGACGATGCCAGGCCTCAACGAAGGACGCGCTGAAGGCCCTGTCGGGCGCGGAGTGCCACGTCGACGAGGCCTCCAACAAGGTGACGATCATAGGCCGCCCCTCCCGCCGGTTCCGTGATCCAGTGTTTCGTTTCCGGGGGGGGTAGTCATGGTCGGGCGGGGAGGACGGGGAAAAGAGGTGTGAGGAGTGAGTGAGGAAGGATATTGGGAGGGATGGAGGCAGGTGTGAGAGGGGGGATGCGAGCTGACGGTCAAGAGACGACGGAGAACAACGAGGTGTGCATCGAGTAACTAGGACTATTACGGTGATGCTTTTGACGGGGATGTGCATGTGACGGACTATGGGGAGGATGCATGACGTCATCAGAGGAGGATGTGGATTGTGATGATTCGGCGGAGGAGGCGCAGGATGATGATAGTGATACATACATATATATATATATATATATGTATATATATATGTATACACATACACAGACTGACAGACGGACGGACAGACGGACAGACGGATGGACGGACAGACAGTCAGTCAGACAGACAGACAGACATACATGTGCGTATATATCTATATGTATATATATATATATATATATATATTCGTGATGCTGATGACGATATTGGGGATGAGGCCGATGTTGACTCTGACGATGACGATGGCGATGCGATGATGAAGCAGAACTGTGACGCGATGATGATGCGGATGATGGCTAAGATGCGTACACGAGTCGTGTGGATGCTTGGGGATCAACCGCGCCACACCGTCGTGGCGAATACGATGGGACGGGGATGCTGATCATGAGGATGTGGAGGACTCGGAATACGATCATGATGGTGAGGGTGAGTCGGACGAACATGAGCAACGGGAGGAGCAGGATGGGTCAGGCAGACGGAGCAGGGGCATGCGCTTCGCTGTGCCGCCGCCCCCTCCCCGCCCCGCGCGGCCTTCGCAGGTCAAGCGGCCGAGGTCGAGAAGTGCAAGCGCGCCGTCGAGGCGGGGCGGCGCCGCCGACTCGGGGCGGGGCGTGCGGCGAGGACGACGAGGACTGGGACAGGGGACGCGCACGAAGATGGTGGGATGGGCGGGAACGAGGATGAATGCGATGGTGGAGAGGAGGGGGGAGGCATGATGGGGGCTTCGGGCCCTTGAACAATCATGACGTGGAGTTTTTCGTTATGTTCGGCCTCTGGGGGCCCTTACCCGCCCTCGGGACCGTCAACCAACGACTCGGGACAGACAAAAACGGTCCTGGGGAATGAGTCCAGACCGTTGGGGGTCCACGTCATGAAACATGCATGACGTCGGGCAATGAGGTGGATGGATGTGGAGGATAAGGATGGACGGAGGGCGGGGGCGATAGCGATGAGGCAGGCGGTGGAGTTCGAGGAGGGATGAGGAGAAAGAACAGGCTGATGAGGTGGTGTGTGTGTGTGTGTGTGTGTTTGCGGGGGAGGATGGGAGGAAGCAGCAGGAGACAGGAGGAAGGATTTGAAGGGATGATGGCATGATATGAGAAAGATGATGCTGATGATGATGCTGATGATGATGCTGTTGATGTTGATGATGATGCTGATGATGATGATGCTGACGATGATGATGATGCTGATGATGATGATGATGCTGATGCTGATGCTGATGCTGATGCTGATTATGATGCTGATTATGATGCTGATGATGCTGATGCTGATGCTGATGATGACGATGATGATGATGCTGATGATGATGATGGTGATGATGATGCTGCTGATGATGATGATGCTGATGATGATACTGATGATGATGATGATGATGATGATGATGATGATGATGATGATGATGATGCTGATGATGATGATGATGATGATGATGATGATGATGATGATGATGATGAAGAGGAGGAAGAGGATGAAGAGGAGGAGGAGGAGGAGGAGGAGGAGGAGGAGGAGGGGTCAGCGGGGAGGGGGAGCGACGCTTAATCTCTTGCACTGAATGCGCACCTTCACAATGGTGGTGGCCACGGCGCTTTTCTGCGGGGCTCTTCTGTGTTTTGGCGCCGTCTGGGGGCTCTCTTGGGTTGTCTCGGCGTCCTCTTAAGGCATTCTTAGCTGTCTAGGCTTCTCAGGAGGCTCTTAGGCTGCCTCGCGAAACACTCATGGGCCGCCTTGGGGCCCTCTTGAGTTACTCTCGAGGCCATCTTGCGCCGATAAGCACAACCCATGTAGAAACACCGTCTGTTTTGTCGAGAGATCTTGGCTGTCTGGGGCCTCTCTTGCGGACTGTTGGACTCTCTCTCTTTGTGCCTCTCGCGCGCTTCTCGGGGGCTCTTGTGGGTCTCGTCAGGCCGCCTGCGTCCTCTTTACTCACTATCGGCCGTCTTGGTGACGCCCTACCATGCTTTGCGGGAATATCGGACGCTCTGAGGGGCACACGTCCAACATGTCAGCACCCAGCCCGCACGGTTGACATATTTCAGACCAGTGGGCGCAAGAGGAGTTGTTTGCGATATCAGGCCTACCCACTTGTAAGATTTGTGGTAGTTCGGATTTGGCTTCCAGTGCTTCACAGGAGCAATCGGTCAGGCATTCCGATACCCCGCCACTCCCAGGATTCTGGGGTTCCGGAATGCATAGCTTGTAATTTACGGAGTCCTGCACAAACGTTGGGAGATCTTCGGCCGCTCTGCTGGAACGTTTTTCAATTTCTAGCACAATGCACAATCATTGAGTGGCCCATGCCGTCTTCCTCTGGAGGCCCCTCGGAAGCCTCTTGGAGGCAATTTTGAGGCCGCTTGGAGGCCGTTTTGGGGCGTCTTGGCCGCTCTATTGGCCACTGGGGCCTCTTTGGGGCCTTTTTGGGGCCTCTTGGGGCCTCTTAGGGCCACTGAGCGCCTCTTGGGGCCTCCTGAGGGGCCGCTGGGGGCGGAAGGCTTTGATTGTCGGTTCGTGCTCTCTCTCTTGGGCCCGTTCTGAGGCTATCTTGGGGCCCCCTTGGGCCGTCTTGGGCGCCTCTTTGCTGTCTTGGGGCCCTCTTGGAGACCTCTTGGGCGTTTTGGGGGGTCGTGGGCCGTCTTGGAGGATCGGAAAGCCGAAAAGGCGACAACGCCATTATCCGTCAAACATCGAAGGCAAATCACTGATTTTTGCCCCTTGGGGCCCTCTTGGGAGGCCTCTTGGAGACCACTTCGGGCGTCTTGGAGGCGTCTTGGGCCATCATGAGGCCATCTTGGCGTATTCGAGCGATCGTTCAGCGACTCGGGGTCCTTTTGGACCGTCTTGGGGACCTCCTGGGCCGTCATGGAAGCCTTGAAGAGCCCCAGGGAGGCGCCATGGCCGCCCAGGGATCACCCAGTAATAGGGGCGATGCAGTCAGGGACGTGCGTCCCGCGGAGTTTTTTTTTTTTTTTTTTTTTTTTTTTTTTTTTTTTTTTTTTTTTTTTTTTTTTGTTTTTTCTTGTTAGAACACTACAGAAGCCCTGCCAGGCAGCCCGTGGTATTTTTCCACGCCTCAAGGTGCCGCAGGCACGGTGGCGGATCGGTGTGGCTAGACCTGTGTGTACAGCTCATCGCTTCGCTAATTCCGCTGGCCCATCTTGTATCACTGGTGCTAGATGTTGGTGCGTTCGTGGCGAGCGAGGAGGAACAGGAGGAGGAGGAGGAGGGGGAGGGAGGAGGAGGAGGAGGAGGAGGAGGAGGAGGAGGGGGGAGGAGGACGAGGAGGCCTCCAGGAGGCATTTTTGCTGCCTCTGGGGGACATTTTTGCTGCCCCCATGGGGCCTCCTGGGGCCGTTTCGCGTGCCTCTTGGGGCCTCTTTGGGCCCCTTGGGGCCGTTTGGATGAGTTTTGGAGCCTCTCGAGGTCTCCAGGAGATTTCTTGGGGTTTCTTGGGAGCTCTTAGAGGTGTCTTGGGGGCCTCTTGGAGGCATCCGGGGGGCATCGTGGGGGGCCTCTAGGGGCCTGGAGGTCTCTAGGTGGCCTCTTGGGCCTTCCTGGGGCCTCAAGGGGCATCTTGGGGGCCTCTCTCTTGGGAGCTTCCTGGGTAGTCTTGGGGCGATCTCGGGTGCCTCTCGGGCCATCTTAGACGCAACAGGCGAATGTGCTTAACATGCGCGCTTTTCCCGTAGGGATTTGTGAATTGTTGCTTCTTGAGGCTCTGTTGAGGGGCGTGAAGGCCCCATCTTGGGGCACTATTGACGCATCTTGGGATGATGTTCGGGCCATCGTGAGGCCTGCCGCCTATTGGTCCCCACTCCTGGGCCCTCTTGGCCTCTTGGAGCTCCCCTGGCGTCTCTGGGGGCGCTCCTGGGGCGATCGCGAGGGCGCGCAACCGCCCCAGGAGGTTCGACCTTGCCGGGACTTCGCCAGGGACCGCCCTGGGCACTTTGCGTCCGGGTACCCCCAGGGGCCGCCCCGCGCGCGCGAACTAGAAATACTGTTAACCAGTTACTGGAGAGCTTAGCACGCCTCTGGCCCGTTGAGCCAGCGAATATGAAACATGTGTGTATATATGTGCACAGATATATGGCCATACATGTATGTATATGGGTATTTATGCATGTATGTATGTGTGTATGCATGCACGCATGCATGCATGCATGTATGCATGCATGAATGCATGCATGCATGCATGTATGTATGTATGCATGCATGACTGTACGTGTGTATGTATATGCATATGTATGTTTGCATGCATGCATGTCTGAATGTCTGTCTGCTTGTCTGTATGTATGCATGCATGCATGTCTGTATGTATGCATGTATGTATGTATATTTGCAGGTAGGTCGGTAGGTAGGTATATGTATATATGTATGTATGCATGCATGTATGTATGTTAGCCATGCATATACATGATTGTATATATATGTAATTGTGTGTATGTATCTATGTGGTGGATGTGTGTATGTATGAATGTATGCAGGTCTGCATGTATCTATGCATGCACGCGTGCATGTATGCATGTATGTATGCACGCATGTATGCATGTATTGTTGTTTTGGCTGTATGTATGGATGGATGTCTTAATGTATGGATGCCTTGATGTATGGGTGTATGGATGTACGGATTTACCGATGCATGCAGGTATGTATAAATGTATGTATGTATGTACGGATGCATGGATGTATGCATCTATGCATGTGTGCATACATGTATGTATGTATACATGTATGTATGTATGTGTGTATGCATGGATGCATGTAGGCATGTTTGTATGTGTGCATGCATGAATGTATGTATGCGTGTGTATGCATTTATGCATGCATGCATGCATGCATGCATGTATGTATGCATGCATTTATGTATGTATACATGCATGTATGTTTGTATGTAGGTGCGCATGTATGTATGTACATATGTATGTATGTATGCATGTATGTATGTATGTATGTATGCATGCATGCATGCATGCATGCATGTATGTATGTATGTATGTATGTATGTATGTATGTATGTATGTATGTATGTGTGTGTATATGTAGGTACGCGTGCACATACGTATACATGTATGTGTGTATGTATGCATTTACGCATGCATGTACGTGTCCATGCATGCATGCATGTATACATTTAAGCATGCATGCATACATGCATGTATGTACGTTTGCATGTACGCACGTACGTATTTATGTATGTATGTACGTACGTATGTATGTATGCATGCGTGCATGCATGCATGCATGCATGCATGCATGCATGCATGCATGTATGTATGTATGGTTGTATGTGTACACACATGTATGTATGTATGCATGTATGTATGTATGTATGTCTGTATGTATGTATTTATGCATACACGCATATGTATGTGTGTTTGTCGGCAGGTAGGTAGGTAGGTAGATCGGTAGGTAGGTAGGTAGGTAGGTAGGTAGGCAGGTAGGTAGGTATGTGGGTATATGTGTGTGTCTGTCTGTCTGTCTGCCTGCCTGCCTGTCTGTCTGTCTGGATGTATCTATGGATGGATGGATGGATGGATCGATGTTGTATACATACCAAGATGTATGGCAATCATCGATTCTCTTGGGACCGTTACATCTCGCGTGTGTTTTGTCAAACTATTGGAATTTGGGTCACTGGCTGAGTGCCTGCCGAGTGGGCTGGCAGCGTGTGAGTTGTGTCAGTCACTGTGCTTGCAAAGCGAGAGCCAGACGCCAGTAGCGACAGAGTGCTGCGAGACGCATTAGGATACAGGACATTCTGATAGTTTTAAACGCATCGTACGCTACTTCGTGGTAGCTGCAGGGAGGAGGGCTCGAATAGATGGATACGATGGGGCTTGAACGGAGACAGACGGATGGATGGATGAATGGAGCCAGACGGAGGGATGGAGCGATGGTGTCGGGGAGCTTCGGATGCAACTCCTTGGAGGTGAAATCCGGATTTTGCCCTGATCCGGAATCTGGTTCAATCTGGCTTAGTCCCGCTTAATCCGGTTTAATCCCATCTAGTCTGGCTTAATCCCGCTTCATCCCGCATAATCCGCGGCCTAATCTGGCGTAGCAGCCCCCCAATGGAGCTTTATCCTCCTTACTCCTTCCGACGAAGACCTCCCAGTAGTTGCCTCCTAAGATGGATGGAGACAGACGGAGAGATGGAGGGATGGAGTCGGGGAGCGAAGATGGAAGAAGAACAACGGCATAAACATAAACTTTTGACGGTGCGCTCGGATTTCTTGGATTTGTGCTGGACCCCCCTCCCTGGCGCGCCGAGCGCGCCAGAGACGGCGCCGGCGGCGCCGCCAGGGGGGCCCAGCTCCGATCCAAGAAATCCGCGCGGAGCGCCAAAAGTTTACGTGTATGCCGTTTTCTCTTCTTCCAGAGAATGGAGGGACGGGAGAGGCAGTGAGTTGCTCTCCCCAGTGATCTCCGCAGCCCCCCCAAGACGACCAGGAGCGCACCAGGAATCCTCGGACCCCTGATGAGGAGGAGGGAGGACCCCGCGCGTTCGCACGAGGGGGGAGGGGAGGAGGAGGGGAAGGAGGCCACGGGGGAGGACGGGCCCCTCGGGGCCGCGCTCGCCAAGGACCCCTCTGCCCGCCCACGGTCCCAGCCACGCTGCCTTCCCCTCGCCGGGCCCCCTCCGCGCTCCCCCCCCCCTCCCCTCCCTTCCGCCCTTCGCCTCCCCTCCGCCCTTCCCTCCGTCCCTCCCCTCCCCTCCGTCCTTCCCCTTCCCCTCCCCTCCCCTTCGTCCTTCCCCTCGCCAGGTCCCCTCTCGCCGCGCACCGCGCCCGCTCCTCTCTCGTCCCTCCCCTTCCTCCCCAGATGAGGGGGAGGAGGCGACGCAAGATGGGGAGGAGGACGGGAGAGAGAGAGAGAGAGAGCAGGAGGAGGAGGACGAGGACGACGAGGAGGAGGACGAGGAGACGGAGGGCGCAGAGGAGCAGCATGACCATGAAGTCAGAGTGAAGTTGCGGAGGATGACAGTGACGCTGATGACGACTATCCTGACCATGGTGATGATGTTGGTGATGATGATGATGGTGGTGGTGGTGGTGGCGGTGATGGTGGAGATGCTGGTGGTGGTGGTGGTGGTGATGCTGGTGGTGATGATGATGGTGATACAGACGAAACGGGTAAGCATCACGATGACCACGATGATGGTACTGAGGAAAATAATGATGATGAGGATGATGATGATGGTGATAGTGATGGTGATGATGATGCAGTTAATGGCGACGATGATGCTGATTATTTATGGCGGTTATGGTTATGACGATGCAGCTGCTGAACATGATTGTGGTGGTGGAGATGTCGTTGATGCTGATGTTGATGATGATGGTGATGAGGATGACGACACCGTCAATAATTTGCAACAGTGATGATACTGTTTATGGTGGTACGACGACGATGTCGGCGACGACGACGACGAACACGCGACGACGACGTCGGAGGCGGCAACGACGACGACCACCACGACAACGACGACGAAGATGATGATGATGATCATGATGATGATGCTGATGATGCTGGTGGTGATGATGATGATTCTGATGATGATGACGAGGAGGAGGATGAGGAGGATAGTGATGGCGATGACCATTCTGCTGATGACGATACCTATGACGACGATGACGACGACTACCTCGACGATGACTACCACGACGACGATTACAGCGACGACGACGAGGGTGATGATAGTGATGATGCTCATGATGATGCTGATGATGAGGATGAGGATGATGATGATGATGACCATGACGATGCTGATGGTGATGATGATGATCATGACCACGTTGCGGATACTGGCTATGCGTATGATGATACTTCTGTTGGTGGTCAGGATGATGATGATGACGATGATGATTATGATGATTATGATAATCTTGATGATGATGGTGATGATGGTGGTACTGATGATGCTGATGATGACGATGACGATGATGACGATGATGATGACGATGACGATGACGATGATGATGGTGATGATGATGGTGATTATGGTGATGACGATGACGATGACGATGACGATGATTAGTATGAGGATGATGATCGTGAGGATGATGAGGATCGTGATAGTGATCGTGGGAGTGATAGTGATAGTGATCGTGATAGTGATCGTGATCGTGGTAGTGGTGCTGGTGTTGATGATTCTGACAATGGTGATGGTCTTGGTGATGATGAGCATGAAGTCGATGATCGGAGTAGGAGTCGGAGTAGCAGGAGGAGGAGGAGGAGGAGCGCGAGCGCGAGGAGCATGAGGAGTATGAGGAGGAGGGGGGTGCAGGAGAAAGAGGGCGCAGGAGGAGGATGCAGGAGGAGGAGGAGGAGGAGGAGGAGGAGGAGGAGGAGGAGGAGGAGGAGGAGGAAAAGGACGAGGAACAGGGCAATTAGGAGGAGCAGGAGCGGGAGCATGGTGAGGACTCGGGGAGAGCGCCTCTCCCCTGCTGTCCCGAGGGGCTTGCGGATGGCTCTATGAGCACCAGCATCATTTTCCAGCTGGCGGGGCTGCCGGCTCCGCAGCCGAAGGCTGCCAGGCCCGCTGCCGCTGCTGCTGCTGCTGCTGCTGCTGCTGCTTGGCCTGGCTTGGCCTGGCCGAGTGAGCATCGGATCCGAACCGGTGCGCAGCACGACAGGAATTGCACTCGCGTCGGAGTCGCGGGCGTGGCCCGCGGCTCACCTCTGTTGTGGTGTGACTTCCGCCCCACGGGCACCTTCAGAGTTTCGGGCTACAGTGGACTCGGAGGGTCCCGCGTGCTTGCGGGCTCGCTTCTGGTGCACGGTTGCAGCGTCGTTGCAATGTCGCAAGGGAATTTACTCCAGGCATGCCGGATCACTCAACGCGCACATCTCGTTGCCAACGTTATCCGCAGGAAGCTGACTCCCAGTGTGCCGGCTCGCTTCCGGTGCGCTTCGTGTTGCCCGCGTTGTTGTTAGCGCTGTGGCCAGGAACTCATTCCAAGCGTGGCGGGCTCGGTTTGGGCGTCCACTGCGTCGCCACTGCAGCTCACTCAAAGCGTGTTTTTTTGAGTCTAGTGCACTATCCGCGCTGCCAGCACTGCGGTAAGAGAGCTCACTCCGAGCGTGCTGCCTCGCTCGCTCGCGGCCCGTGCACATGGCGTTGCCAGCGTTGCAGACAGGAGGCTCGCTCACACCGAGTGTGCCAGCTCGCTTCCGGCGATCTCTGCGGTGCCAGCGCCGTGGCAGGGACTGTCATTGCGAGCGCACCGCGCTGCGCGGCGCGTTGCCAGCGCTGCGCTCTCGGCAGGACGCCCCCCCCCCCGAGCGTGCCGCCTCGCTTCCAGGGCATCTCGTGGTGCCGCTGCCGCTGTTGATGGCGCTGTCAGCTGGAAGCCAGCTCCGAGCGCTGGCTCGCTCCCAGCGCGCGCGCTGCCAGCGCTGTTGGCAGGAATGGTTCTCCGAGCGTGCTGGCTCGCTCCTGGCGCGCGTTGTGTGTGCCAGCGCTGTCGTCAGCAAGCTCTCTCCGAGCGTTGGGGCTTGTTCCCGGCCCCCCCCCCTCCCCCCAAATGCGACTTTGGATTCCAGGGGTGGGGGAGAGGGGGAGGGGTGACAGCCAGTCGTCTTGCGCGCCCTCTCGCCTCTGGCAAGCGGGGGTCGGCAGATCTGTGCCCGCCTTTTTTTTTGTTTGTTGTTTTTTCTTCCCTTCTTCCCTTCTTCCCTACATCCCTCTCTCCCTCTCCCTCTCCCCTTGTCTCTGTCTTCGTTTGTTGTTTCTTTGTCTTTGTTTGTTTGTTTTTTCTTCCCTTTCTCTTTTTTCTTTTTCTCCCTCCCTCCCAGTCGCTGGGGACCTGAAGACATTGGGGCCCAAGTTTGTGTGCCCGCCTCCTTGCCGTCCCGTGGCGTTTGAGGTGCGGTCTCTCCTGGGAGAGTACTAAATCAGAGGCGATCTCACCCCGCGCAGTCCGCCTGACAGGTCTCCGCCCAGCCTGAAAGGTAGGAGTGTCTCTTCGTGGCGCCATGTGGGTGCTGGCAATCGTGCTGGCCCAACGTGGAAGTGCGGATCCTGCGGGTGCGGCGAGAACCTCAGCCGATACTGGCTCTGTAAGCATTGCGGTCATGGCAGTGGTTTTGCAACCTCAGCTGTTGCTGGTTCAGAGGCTCTCTACCCGGGCTTGTGAGTTACAGCACATTTGAATTGCCTCCCTGGCTTCCCTATTCGCCCAGATTTGACGACATATGAGATATCTCGGCCGAAAAGAGGCGGGACTTTACCTTTCTCAATCCCTCCGCGGGACCATTGCAGAGGAAAGGAGGAACCGTTGGAACACGAGAAACAGGCCCAAGGAAACCCGAATACTAGTTCAACCAGCGACCTGAAAAAAAAAAACGGCCGAACACCCCGCGGCGCCTCAACAACCTCTGGATGTCCCCGCTGTCTGTTTAACCGATAGCGAAAGGATGGGAAAAAAAGTTAGCTCGCATGGGGCTCGATGCGGCGGAACGCGGGGCCCGAGTAGAGAATTCGTTCGCCGGTTTCCGATTCAGTCGGAAGCGCGGATGCTCAGGATGCGGCCATGCCCGACGCCAGTTTGATTGGGACGCGGCACAGGACCAAGCAATGGCCCCAGCACTGTCGCAAGGAAAGCCCAATCCCACGGATAACACCCAGACAGGCGGCGCCGCCGTCGAGCTTCCGCCTGCGGTTTGCCCAAGGTTTGATTGGGACGACGTGGCTGACCTCCCTGTGGTGAAGATTAAGATCATGAGAGCGCTTCGCGAAGCGTGGAATACTCAGTTCGGGGACGCGCGTCTGCGACGCATCGATGGGATCTCCATACGCAATATTACGCACTGGGTCTGTGAAGCGAGAATTCCGGACGTGGATCTCATCGCGTGTTGTGCGAACATCTACGCCCGAGCAATGCGGCATCATCGTGGTGGTCAGGATGGTGGACTGCAGGCGATCAGTTTTCGACATCCGAGTAGATCGTACTTAAATTTCGAGGAATTCATCGTGCATTGCATCCATTATGAGCTTGATCCAGACTTTGATCCTGACGCACTCAGGCCTGAAGCTCCTGCGCAGCCCATCCAACAGGAAGCCGTGCAAGAAGACGCTGCCAGGTCGACTGGCGGTGATCCCCTTGTTGGCCAAGCAGGGCTGGGGTGGGAAGACCTAGCTGGCTCGGCCAGCGATGGTTTTCCGCCCCCCGAGACTGCTCAGAGCCCCGAGGATCCTTTCCAGGCGGCAGTCCCAGAGAAGCTTGCACTTAGGCGAGAAGAAGAAGAAGGCGTCGACCTCGGAGATGAAAACCGCCAGAGACGGAAGGGGTTCTGGCCGACCCCCGGAAAGCCACGCGCTCTCCGACATCGACGGGTCCGCAGCGACCGAGGAAGAGCCCGGCGTGCAGGGATCGGCCCAGGAAGACCCGGTCGACGAGGGCGGCGTTGAACAGATGGGCGCGGGCGCTGCCGGCACCGAGTCAGCCGGGGCCGCGCAGGAGGAAATGCCCCCCGTGCGAGCGCCCGGGCACAGGGGTCCCGAGGAGTCAGAACCCCGCGGTTCTCAGGGTGCCGTTGCCGGTCCAAGATGCACCGGCGAATGCGTCTGTGGGGGCGGGCCACCGATGGCCCTGGAAAGATCCCGATCGCCCTTGGGGGCCCCTCTCCCGCAGGGGCCGGAGCCTAACGTCTGCCATTCCATGGACGTGGCTGTTGCTCCGCTGTCCCTGTCGGTCGCGATTCAACGTGGGGCCTTCGCCCAAATGCCGCCCGCCCCAAATCAAGAAGGACGTCGACCGAGCTCGCGCGTGAGGGCGCGCCCCGCATGGCCTGCCGACCGCGAGGCTGGTCACGTTGAGAATCCGCGTCGGGGGCGTTCGGTTGGTGCGCGACCCTGTCTTCGCATGCGTGGCCACTTTGCCTGATCCACGCCGTCAGAGGGCCGTGGATTGCATTCGCGCTACTTACCACCGCGCGCAAGTCTCGCGAAGCCCCGCGCGCTGCGTTGAAGGAGCTGGCCCCCCTCAGCCCAGGCGTTGCCCGGGCCTTCAAAGGGCGGGACTTCGGGTCAGAGAACTGCGGTCGGGCCGAAGCAAAGGCCAGATGTGTCGGGGAATTGGTATTGCGCCTCCTCTGGCATTGTTCGCTTCGCGTGCGATAATCAAGAGGGTCGTTCATTTCTGAGAGTCGCGGCAACATTCAAGACGTATGATTTGGAGTATTATAGGGCGGTTGCTTTGGCAATGTACGTTTGAACTTTGCTGTCGTCGGGCTCCGCCCGCGCCCCAGAGCTCGAAGCGAGTGCTTGTCTCTTGCTTGGGGGCCTGTCGAGTTGGCGCCGGCAACGATCGATTGGCGATGGTCCCCGGGGGCTGGCGGGGGAAATCCCCGCCCCCGCTTTCGTTAGGGCATTTCAAGGACATTCAGCGTTCGTCGCCAATATTGAGCGCGCGTGCACCCCGCGCGAGTTCAGTGGGATATCCGAGGGCCACGGGCCACTGAGGTATGTCGCCGCGCTGAGGGCGATTCGGGGGCCGATGCGGGGAGGGGTTCGGCAATTATCCGGAGGCGCCACTCGGCCTTCTTTACTGCCCCAGCTCACGATGCCATTGGGCTTCTTCCCGCGGCCAGGGAACTTCCAGCAGGGGCCCCGACCGCTGACGCGATCCCGCGCTGGCTGAGCTCGCGTGGGCTCTCCGTCACAGATGGCCCCCCCGCCCCCATCGCAGTCGGCTTCCCGGGCCGTGAAACTGGCGTTGATCGATTCTACTTGGCGCGTGCGCAAGGGTCACCAGACGCAGTGGGAACGCGCGGTGACGCGCGGCCCCGAGGACTCGTTGCGGCGCGCGTCTCGAGTCTCCCCAGAAGTGGTGCCGTCTTCAAATCGGCGCCCCAGCTGGGCGGGCATTTCGAAAATCTTTCCAGTGTCTCACATAGAGAAGTGCCAAGAGCGCTGCGCGAATGATTTGGGGCCGCGCGTTTGACCGTTCGTGGGCGAGCGCGGACGTGGCGCTGTCAGCAAAGTTGGTTGTTGTGCACCCTCAAACTGATGAGCCCGTTCCCCCGAGCGTCGGCGCAGGGGCCCAGGCAGTTGAAGCGCTTGAGGTGCCCGAGGTGTCGGGAGAGGATGCAGATGTGCTTGCGATACTTCCCTGGAAGTACGATGGCCGCAACCTTTGCGCGCGGCGATGTCCATTCCGTTCGGGGTCCAGGGCGCGCCCGTTCTGCTTCGCGACCCTTCCTAGCCCCCCGTTGAACGGAATTTCGATATAAGGGGCGGCCATGAGGGCGATCCGACACAGTTTGAAGGGGCGCGGGCTGCAGTTGATCGCGCGCGGGGGGGGAGCCGAGATCTGCCTGTCCAAGACAGGCGCAAGAGGAAAGGGCGCCCACCGCCGACGAATACCTTTATCACTTGTGAGATAGGTCAAAGGGACATTGGTTTGGGGATCAGCATAAGTGGCTGAGGAGGTCCCGGTGCCCTCGATAATGAACCGGAGGGCTGTCCCCTCGCGGGGCGCGCTGAGCCCATGTGACCGCCGTCCAATGTGGAAGCAACGGTATTTTCGGTTCA